GACTCATACTCGTAAGGGTAATCCTCTATTTCATCTCAACTATTTTCAAGGGATGGAATAAAGTAGGGACTACTCCTTTCTTTTACTAAAGACTCGAATAACCCCTCAAAACCTTAAGGAAGATAGGAGCATTCAAGAAAAAAATTGAGCTTGATATTCCAATCATGCCATTTCTCGAGTTCTTTAAATATCACATACCCAGTTGTTTGAAATTGAAAAAAATGGATAGATATGTTAATAAGGCAAGCTTACTAGATAGATCATTTAGACACATTTCTTCTTGAATCTAATATTAAGCTTAAGAATGAAGATGAACTTATTAGCAAAGAACTTACTTGTCTAGTAGCTTCTTCATTCCATGATCTTATACTTGAAGCTATAAACACCACATTTTTAAAGCTTCTTTAAGAAAGACCATCCATGGAAGAAAAATTGATGATAAGGATTTTGGTAAGAATAGAGCAATTTCCTCTATTGATTTGCAAAGAAGGTCTTAGCAATGATCTTAATCAACAAGAAAGTGAGCTTCATGTTCACCTATGCTATTTTCTTAGTTCTTTGAGAATCCATTATTTAATTAATTGAAAACACATCTGGTTGAAAACTCACTTGTTGATACCATTGATGAGCTTAGTGAAAAGGATAAAGATGAAATAGAGGAAATAGTAAAAGAAAGGTTAAATTTTGATAATGTGAAAGATTTGGATGATGATATAAAGGGACTAGTTGCTTAAAAATTTCCCCAACCTTTACTTCTCAACTTGATACCTTTGACTTCTCATCCTTTATGCTCACTCAATTTATACCATTCATGGAGGAAGTTTTCATTTTAAAGCTAAAAATTATATTCTTCATAATGATACCTAATTCATTGGTACTAAAGCCAATGACCCTCTTTATTAGTCCATATTGCACTATGCTTAGAACATTCATAGATGAGTGATGCATATCTACCACAGTACACCATATTTACCTAGAGATTATCATTTCATATTTAGTGCTAAAGAAGAGAATGAAATGGGTAGATGCGGGAACAAAGTGTGGTGTGATTCTCTAATACTAATGAAAGTCAAGCTACTGACTTTCAACAAGTGTTTCTTGGTAGATAACCCAAGTTTTACATTTCATGTCTTGTTCATTTGTTTTTTGTTGTTTTGCTTACATTTTCGTGTACGTATTGATGTTAGTTTTTCTTGTAGGTGTTTTCATTTGCTTTGTAGGAGGGATAAGAGTTTGAACATTGAAGCTAAGAGCATAACATGGTTCGACTATACTTGCATTTTGCATTCGATCACCATACTTCCAAAGATGATAGAGGAATTCCCTTTTCTTCTTATGTGCTTTTTTTTTTTTACTTACACATTGAGGACAATGTGTTCTTTATGTTTGGGGGTATGAAAAACTTACTCAAAAATTTTTAAATTTTTCTTGAGTTTTGCTTTGAAATTGAGCTTAACTTATTATAGGTTAAATCATTAATATGCTTTCTTAATTAGTTTTTCATAAAGCCAATGATAGGTAGAAATTGAGAATTAATATAGTTTTAGAAAAAAATTAAGTATTGTGTGAAATATGAGATAATGCTTAGGTTTAGTAACTTCATGAGTATAAGTTTTCATTTGTGAGTTAATACTTTGATTAGTAAATTATATTTTTTATCTAGTGCATGATTATGAGAGTATGAAATGTTTTTTTCATTGGTCTTTAAAGTTGTGTTTCATGTTCTAGAATTTATTTTAATCATCTTTTGAGGTAAAATATTAGAAGACACATGATTACGAAAATGGTATAGGCCATCTTTGGATTTATTGAACCTTTGAAGCCAACCTTGATACAATTCTTCCATAGTCACCCATTTGAGCCTAATGATACTTTTCTTTGTTATGAAACTACATTACAAGCCCAAAGCCTTGATTTGTATATTTTCTATCTTTTGGTCCCTCACCTTATATGCATTAGGACATTCATGCATCATTTATGAGTTATGCATTATTACAGATGAAGGGTGAAGCTATGAAAAAGAATGGGAAAATAAAAAGAAAAAAAAAAGTCAAGCTAGCTTCCAAAAGAAAAAGAAAAAAAAATAAAAGCAATAAAGTGGTGAAATAGCAAAGAAAGAAACAAAAGTGAACAAAAGCAAATATTGTTTCCTAAAGCAACAACTTTAGGAAACAAAAACAATAAAAGGAAGAAAAGAAAGAAAAAGTAAGCAAAAACTAAGTTTAAGGGTGATTTTTAGAAAAGCTTTAACTTCTTTCCCTTGAGAGCTCAACAATGAATGATCATAGACAAAGTAATGCATAGTTAGGATAGATAAGCCTAAAATGTCTTTCATCATAACTTGACCCTAGCATTACATTACAAGCTTATAAAGTCTTAAATGACCTTTAGTCATATGTTTGACTACATTAGTAGAGAAAGATGTGATAAGCAAACATATGAAATGTGATCACACTTTATTGATCTTTGTTTTAGAAGTTTCATGTTTTACATAATATCATTAGATTTCAGGTAAGGATGTGCGAGATGTATTGCTTTCATTTGGAATAATAGTTAGGAATGAAGTTATCTTAGGTTGATTCTTGTATAATAGCTTAAGTTCATGATTTTGCATTAGTTATATTCATGATGAATGAAGCATTGGAATTTAGTGATGATTCTAGCTCAATCTTGTTTTGTTTAAAGAAAAGAAAAAGCTTAAGTTTAATTGCACTAAAATTTTAGTATTTTATTACCTCTTTTTAGTGTAATTTCTATTGAATATTGGCTTGTTCTATGAGAAATTTGGCAAAAATACTCATAAATGCATAAATATTCAATGTGTAGGTGAAAATACAAAAATAAAGGAAATTTGGAGCTTTTGGACTCATTTTTTAGGAATTTTGGTGTAAAAAGCCATGAAAAGCCAAAATTAGTGTGTTTGTGCTACATTGCCACTTACAAGAATTTTTCTCACCATTTCTCTTCTATGATTTCATTAACTTATTTGAGCTCAATTGAACTTTATTTCAAGCCTTAATCATCCTATTTTTCAATTTGAAATGTTCTTCTTAGTTCACTAGCGCATTGTTACCTTTGTAGTATTTTTACAAGTGCTAGAAAAGTAATAGGTGCATTAGTGTAGTTTGAAGCCTTCTTTGTAATTGATAACTTTTTAAAATTTTTCAAAATTTTTCATGCATAAATTGTCCACTAAATGGTCTGTATTTGAAAGAAAATTGAAGGAGAAATTGGTTACAATCGATGCCAAAATTAAGGAGCAAAATTCAACTAAGGGCATTAGATGCATGAGCTATGTGATCAAGATCTTATGGTGTCATTTGGGAGATTCAAAGAGGGACCTATTAGAACTACTTAGCTGGCCATTTGAAGGCTTGTAATTGGACATAGTTTTGATTTTATAGAGCTTACTAGATCATGGGAAGAAGGCTTAAAGTAAAGGGAACAAAGAAGAAACAAATAAGGAAGCAAATGATGCAAAGTAGTTGAGATAGAAAGATCTAGAATAGTTGGTAGTTGAGCTAGATTTTTCATTCACCTTGAGTGGTTGAAGCACTTCCCATTTGCCTATAAATAGGGGAGAGTGGCCGGCCACTAGGAGACTTTAGCTAGTTTTTACATTTTTTTTCTTTTCCTTGCATTTACTTTCTTTTCTCTTTGAACAGTTTCTTCCTTGTTCTTTTAGAGGGCCATTTGGGAGAAATTTGCATTTATTTTCTAGCAAAATTTACTTCTTTGCCTTTTATTTTCAATGCATTTTAAGATTTTTTCAATAAAAATTCAAGATCTTTAAGTTTTCAAGTTTAATTTGATGCATTTTCAATTATTTCTCAAATTTGTTTGGCAATTTATGTTTCTAACCTATGTATGGTTTTTCTATTGACTCTTGATCAAATATTACTTGTTTTGATCCAAATTTTTTTCCATGGATTCTTGATTTATTGATTACAAATTTGAAAAATATCACATGCAAATTCAATCTACACAATTCCATAAATTTCTTCAAACTTTTGATTTAACCTAGAAGGTGAGCTTAAGCTTGAGTGAGTAAGCATTTCAAGTGACTTCTCTCCTAGCTAGACATTTGGTTTGCCACTTCTTTACTTTGTACTCTTTAATTCATCAAATTACTTATTAAATCTCATTTGATTGCATTTAAATTCATGCATTTCAATTCTGTTTGGCTAAATTTTCTTGTAACTACTCTGTTTTTGCTATTTTTACATTCGGTTTGAATTTGAGTTTAATGAGCTGAGTTTTTAGTTGATTCATGTGATTTCTTTGTTGATCTAGGTAGTAAACTTGCAGATCTATGTTGTCTTGGTTTGAATTTGAGTTTAATGAGCTGAATTTTTAGTTTATTCATGTGATTTCTTTGTTGATCTAGGTAGTAAACTTGTAGATATATGTTGTTTTAGTTCAATTTGAGTTCATTCTATCTAGAGAGTTGTAGATATAATTTTTCTTCCCTGAATCAACAGTTTCCAGCATTCAAATTCAGTTTTTATTTTTTACTCTTTTGGTTAATTATTGCAATTTCCTTTAATTACTTGTACTTACTTTAGATCATTTATTGTTTTTGCAATTTCCAATTCAAATTCTTTCAAATGCATTAGCTTAGATCTACATTCCTTGTTGAACATTCAGTTTCTAGTTTTGCACTTAAGTTTGGATCTATATGTTCTTCTTTAGATCTTGCATTTTTGTTACTTCAATTGCACTTTAAATCTATTTTCATCTTAGTTTAGTTACTAATTTTGCAAATTACAAGTTGTTAGGATAATTTCTTAAGAAGTTTTTAGATATTTCTTTTGTCAAAAGTTGAAAAGTAATTATTTTTAGTTGTTAGTTATTTTTTGTAAAAGCCTTTAAGCTACTATTTTGTCGATTAATTATTCTTTTTATTTTTGATTTTTTATATCTATAACTTAATATAAAAACTATCCCGTTTCTTCCATTTATATTACACCTAAGCAATATCATAAAGAAAAATTACAAGGATAATTTTGGAAAAAACTAGTTCCCCAAGCTTCTAAAACTTCAAGGTTTCATATATGAAAAAGGTGTAAGAGGGAAAAGCCCTACCTCCTCTTTCTCCCAACTCCTTCCTCCTACTCTTACCCTCACCCATCTCTGTTTCTCTCATTTTCCCTCACTTTCTTTCTTATTTTAAAAACTAAACTCCCAAACTGGACATATACCATATAAATATATTTTGAAGGGATGAAAATGAATATGTGTGCTTAGACATTGGATGGGCCAGAAGGGCTAAGGGTGAACCGTATTTAGAGTTGAAATTACTTTGATTAAAGGGTGATAGACAGAGTCGGTTGGCGTGGCTGCTTCTTTTGGCATGGGTTTCACGTGCCATGGAAACACTGATTACTACTATTTTTTTTCCTTTTTTTTTTCTTGTCTCTTGCAAAATTTTTCATTGAAAATGGTATGGACTTTGAATTTGGGCTCAATTCTTAGTTGGAAATTTACGAGTTTGAAGTTTTTCCTCTTTATTCTAAACTCTTATCTTGGCATCTATAGGGTCAATTTGAGAGACCAGCAATAATGGCTCTTGCAATCTAACTAGTGGTCTTAGTGTTTCCCTTGCCAGTCCTGATGGTCGCATCATTGGTGGAGGTGTTGGAAGAATGCTTATTGCAGTAAGCCCTATTCAAGTAACTCTTTGGTTGTAGTAATATCTATGATGTTATTTTTAATTCTCATTTCTAATTGCCGATTTATCTATATTCATATGGGTTTTGAATTGTAGGTTGTCAATTTATGAAAGGTATCAATTTTATGTTTGATCATTTTTTTTTCATGCATATTGTTTTATGGGTTTTGATTTGATTTTATTATGGTTTTTGACTTTGAATTTGGTGGTGGTGGTGACAGTAGCTTTGTCACTACTGTCGTCAATATTGATTTTATTGTTGAAATTTAATAATTTCATTGTTTAATTTTGTTCTTGATGTCGAAAGTGAGTTAATTTTTTTTCTATTGGTATTTGTTTTTAGTTTTTTAAATAGCTATTACACTGCATGTTTATTGTGGTTCGTTGTTCTTTCTGAATTTTGTAATAGTTTTTTTTTCCTGTAATGAGATGTGTCATTTGCAATTTTGTGAGATTTTTATTTATAATGAATGATGAGTGTTTGAATATTTGCATGATTCAATAAATTTATATTGGAATGTACTGTTGTTTCTATGTGAAAGAGGCTATGTACTAAATGTTTAGTATTAGTAATTATTTTGTTTGTTGATATAAAGGTGTACAGATAAAGGACACGTGCCATGCACCAAGTGGTTTCTTATGAATGGTGAGTGTTGATGCAGTGATGGGGATGGCATGGCCCATGGCTACATTCAACCATTCCCATTTAGCCATTCCCTTTCTTTTTCTTTAAAATCCTGATGTCCACACGTTATTTGACTAAGTTTTCTATTTGAGTCGGGCTTTGCCTTTGTCTCCTGGTGTGTTCTCACTTCTCAATTTTCGTTGACTCTCAACTCTTTAGATTCCCAAATTGTGGATTAAAAATTTATTTGATTATGACTTTTTTTTTATTTTGATTTCAATGTTGTGTCATTTAATACTTTCTAACTCTTAATTTTTTTTAGTAAAAAAACAAAATTCACTTTCAAAATCATTAATTACGTGTGATAGAGTATTAGATTAATAAAAATTCAAATTGTACAAAAATAAATCACTGTCCCAAAATCTTAAAATATTAGTAATTGTTTAATCCTTGGTTTCTTTTAACAAAGAACTATGGATTGAGATTGAGATTGAGTCACTATTCAATAATTTAATGTAGATATTTATTTTTTTTGTGAAAATTGAATGTATATTGAAAAATTGCTTATTTACAATTATACAAGAATCTTAAGTTTATATACAACTAACTAGGAGTTAAACTAGGAAACTAAATCTTCCTTAATTCTAGGGATACAAATACTTAATTCTAGAGATACAAATATAAATATACAGATTACAAGATTACAACCAACTGTAAATAAGTGTTTTCCCACACTCCCCCTCAAGCTGGTGAATAGGTGTTTTCCATTCCCAGCTTGGAAATAATTTCTTGAAATGTTGCACTGCTGAGACCTTTAGTCAACACATCTGCAAGTTGACCCTTGGTTGATACATAAGGTGTACAAATCAACCCACTGTCTAGTTTCTCTTTTATGAAATGCCGGTCTACTTCAATGTGTTTTGTTCTGTCATGTTACACAGGATTGTGTGCAATGCTTATTGCAGACTTGTTATCACAGTAGAGTTTCATTGGTCCATCCCACTTGATCTTCAAGTCTTCTAGGATAATCTTTAACCATAATAGTTCACAAATTCCTTGAGCCATTGCTCTGAACTCTACTTCAGCACTTGATCTTGCCACCACATTCTGTTTTTTACTCCTCCAAGTCACAAGATTACCACCAAGAAAGTGTAGTAGCCTGAGGTAGATCTTCTATCAGTTACTGAACCTGCATAATCAGCATCTGTATATGCTTCTAGAACTAACCCCGAATCTTTTTGAATAAGATACCTCTCCCAGGATTGGCCTTCAAATAGTGCAATATACGGTAGACAGCCTATAAGTGCACTTCTTTAGGACTATACATAAATTGACTTACCACACTCACAGCATATATTATATCAGGTCTAGTATGTGAGAGATAAATGAGTCTTCCAACTAATCTTTGGTACATCTCTCTATTTACAGTAGCATTTTCATTAGCTTCTCTAATTTTATGATTAGGATCTATAGGGGTATTTGCAGGTTTACATGCAAGCTTCCCAGTTTCTTTCAGAAGATCCATCACATATTTCTGTTGTGAGATAAAAATATCATGCCGTGAGTGAGCTACTTCAATTCCTAGGAAGTACTTCAATCTCCCTAGCTCTTTTATCTCAAATTCTCTAGCCAAACACTGTTTTAGAGCTTCTCTCTCTTTTTCATCATCTCTAGTTACAATTATATCATTAACATACACTAATAAAACTGACTCTCCCTGAATCAGAGTGCTTGATAAACAATGTGTGATCTCTTTGACTCTGTTTATATCCCATTGCTAGCATCACTTTGGTAAATCTCCCGAACCAAGCTCTAGGAGACTGTTTAAGGCCATATAAAGCCTTTTTTAATCTGCATACTTTATTTGCTTCTAGATGACCTCCAAATCCCGGTGGAACCTTCATATATATTTCTTCTTCCAAATCACCATGTAAAAAAGCATTCTTTACATCAAATTGTTGAAGCTGCCAATTGTAATTTGCAGCTAATGATAACAAAATCCTAACTGTATTCATCTTGGCAACTGGAGCAAAGGTTTCCTGGTAATCCACTCTATAGGTCTGAGTGTAGCCCTTAGCCACTAACCTGGCTTTATACCTTTCAACAGTACCATCTGCCTTGTATTTTACAGTGAAAACCCATTTACACCTTACTGAATTTTTTCCTTTAGGCAACTCTACCAGTTCCCATGCCTGATTTTTCTCTAAGGCCTCTATTTCTATTTTCATGGCTTGCCTCGATTTCTCACTGAATAATGCCTCGGATAATGTAGTTGGAACAAAAATAGTGTTTAGGCTCACAAGAAAATTTTTGTGAGATGGTGAGAATTTTTCAAATGACACAAAATTAGATATTAGGTATAGTGGATGCTTGGTACATTCTCTGGTTCCTTTCCTAATGGCAATAGGCAAATCATAATCACTAGTTATAGTTTTAAGAGATTCATGCTCATTTTGAGAAACAGAGTCAAAAACTGTAGTTACCTCATTTCCAGAGTTAGGATCAGGTTCTTGGACTAGCACTGGTTCAGGATCTGAAACTTTTCTTCTTGAGTACACCTGTAATTCTTTCATATAATCAAGAACAATATTATCCTTTGTCACATCTTCCGTATTTGGAATCGGTTCAGACTCAAATTCAATGTTTGACTTGAGCTCAGCAGAAACAGGTTTCGACTCATAAGAATTAAAGGGTGTAAATGTTGAAGAAGGGGGCAAATCAAGCAAAAAGAAGTCTTTATCCTTATCTTCCATGAATGAAGTCTCCCATTGAAGATAAGGTTGGGTAAAAAATAGTTTATTTTCTTCAAAAGTGACATCTGCAAACACATAAAATTTTTTGGTTGGAGGATGATAGCACTTATATCCTTTTTGAGTTAAAGAATACCTCACAAAAATACACTTAATCGCTCTTGGATCCAACTTTCCCCTATTATGACTGTGAACATGAACAAATGATGTACAACCAAATATCCTAGGTGTGAGATTGTTTGTGGTATTGAGGTTGGGATAAAATTGTGAGAGTAGTTTCATAGGAGTTTTAAATCCCAAAACTCTTGAAGGTAACCTATTTATAATGTGTGTGGCAGTGAGAACAGCTTCCCCCCAATAAGATTTAGGTACATTTGCTTGAAAAAGAAAGGCTCTTGTTGTGGCTAATAAATGGTTATTTTTTCTCTCTGCCACTCCATTCTACTGTGGAGTATTAACAAAGATGACTCATGGATAATCCCCTCTTTTTGGAAATAGGTGGATAGACTCTGGTTGAAGTAATCTTTTGCATTATCAGACCTAAATCTCTTGATTCTTACTCCAAATTGATTTTGGATCATGTTTTGGAAGCTTAAAAATATACTATTCACATCTGATTTATATTTAAGTAAAAAAACCCAAGAGACCCTAGTACAATCATCTATGAATGAAACAAATCATCTCGTACCAGAAATATTAAGAATTGTAGAGGGACCCCAAATGTCACTATGAATCAAGTAAAAAAGAGTAGAACTTCTTTTGTTACTGATTGAAAAAGACACACGTCTATGTTTTGCAAATTCGTAAATATCACAATGAAAATCTTCAACATTTAATTCTTTGAACAAAAAAGGAAACATGTTTCTCAAGGTTCCAACGAAGGATGTCCAAGACAAAAATGATAAAGCCAAATTTTATCTTTATTGAAAGATTTTTCAGAAAGAAATGACAAAGGTAAACTATTTTTTATACTACTTGTGTTATTTGATGTCTCAAGATAGTATAGTCCATCCTTCTCCTTAGCAAGTCCAATCATCTTCCCCGAACTCTGGTCCTGAAATTCACAATAAGAGGGATAAAAAGTTACTTTGCAATTCATATCTCTGGTAAGTTTTTGTATAGACATCAGATTAGTAGATAATCCAGGAACATGAAGAACATTTTTTAGAACAAACGAGGGATTAACTTGAACATCTCCTAATCCTGTCATTGTGGTAAGTGAACCATCAGCAACAACAATTTTCTTATTACTAGGACATAGGTTATATGTACTAAACTTTTGTGGGGAATGTGTCATGTGGTCTGTGGCTCCCGAGTCAATGACCCAAGAACTCGTAATAGGCTTAGCCGAGACATTTAATCCATGAGAACCGGAAGCTTTACCTGAACTAGAAACTTTACCCAAAAAACATACCATAGTAGGCTTTTCAAGGATTTTCAATAAGTTTATCAGCTTTTCAATCTCTTTCCTGTTGAACTCTCCTTGTTTTTGAGACATCTGTAGTACTCCAGTGATTTTCCCAGTTAACATTTCCTCAAATTGGGTGATAGTGATATCTTTCTTTGAAAGGGTTCGGCAATGAAGGCCTAAACAGGATTCGACAATGAAGGCCTAAAAAAGTCAGCAATAAAGGCTGAAAATTTTTCTTCCCAAGAAGAGCCTAAAGCTCTGATACCATGTGGAAACTGAATGTATATTGAAAAACTGCTTATCTACAATTATACAAGAATCTTAGGTTTATATACAACTAACTAGGGGTTAAACTAGGAAACTAAATCTTCCTTAATTCTAGGGATACAAATACTTAATTTTAGAGATACAAATATAAATATACAGATTACAAGATTACAACCCACTGTAAATAAGTGTTTTCCCATATTTTCTTTCTTTATTTAATCTTTATTGCACGTATGATACATGATATATTTTTTTATACTCATGGCATTTATGTTGGTAAGATATTAAGAGTATATCTTCAAATGGTTTTTTTTTTTTAATTTAAAATCATTAGAATTTAGATTTTGATTATTAAAATTAATTTTTATTAACATATTACTGATTGTTGACAGCGCATTCATTTTCATTTTCCTCTTAACTTAATCACTTCCAATTTACTCATAACCTTAGGATTTTATAATTTTTAATCATTATTTTATGTTTACAGTTTTGATTACTTCCATAATCACGTTTAAATATCACTAGAATTGTTTTGCTCATTATGTAAGTTTTGGTGTTTGCTTTTGTAATTGATAGAATTGGCATGGTTATTATCTTTGTTTTATCTAAGGTTTTGTTCTATATGATTTTTGTTTTATTGATGTAGCTTTGTTCTCATTTTGTTTGTGGTTTTCTAGTTTGTAGAAATTTGTTGATCTTGAAGTGATTCTAAAATCTTTGTTGTGAAGATTGAAGTTGAAGTTTGATCATTCTTTATTTGATTTTTCTGTGAAGAATGGTCTTTTTTATCTATCCTTGATTTATTGATAATTGAATCTCTTATAATATTGAAGTATTTAATCAAAGTTGGTGGCTTTTTGATGTTTCATGTTAAAGAATTTCTATTACAGAATATTAATTATAGTGTTTGTGTATTTTCACAATACTGACATTGCAATTGATGCTCTTTCAGTTTGGTTGGTTCCACTTCCTTGATCACCTTTACATTCTATTATTTTTTTAAAATTCTACTATTTGCTTGTTGTTTCATACCTTGCTGCATCTTTTTGATAAATTTTCAATTCCTTATTTGGCAGCATATCAATCTTCATTTCTGAATCCATGATTCTGCTGGGATTTTTTGCTGGAATTGGGTATGTTACCTGTTGTAAGGCCCTCCCCATTTCACTATACAAGTGTAATTAATTGAAATAGGAATTTCCAAAAATTAAAAGGAAAAAAGGAAGATATAAATTGAATCTCAATCTACAGCCTATTAACTAAAAAAAGCTTTAAGTTGCTCATCATGAATATGCATTGCAATAGATTTATAGCTGAAAAGAGTGCTTATGCAGAAATGGTGGCACATGTGAGATCAAACATCACATAAAAGTAAATAACTTCTATTGTCTTTAACTTAAATTTTAATAGAACATTTCTCTCTCCATAAACATTGCATTGGTCTTATTGATGAGTAATTATGATTCCATTTTTTGTGGTTTTCTGGCATTCATGTTCTGAAGTAGTTTACTCTGATATTTAGGTTTTGATGATGATCTTATTCATTGTAGTGTCTCCGGTAAAATGATGAATCGCTATAGCACATTTATATGATAGATTCTATAAAATATTGAATTGTCACCTTTTATATGTCCGGCATTGGATTACACAAAAAGCGTTAGATCCCCACATAGTTAGTGTTACTCTTTTAATCGGAAATAGAATGAATTCAAGTATACATATAAAGTAAAAAATTTTCTCTTTGAAGCATTTGTACTGTTATACAACTGATTTTGAATTTTTTTTAGTGCCTTGATTGTTTTCATCTCTCACCCCTCCTTACTGTTTCATCCATCCCTGTTTACGCTTCTTAACACGTTGTGTTTTTAATACAGTGTGCGTGTAGTAAATGAGCTTGGTGCAGGCAATGCCAAACGTGCCAAATTTGCAACTGCAGTGTCTGTGATTACCTCTCTAGCTTTTTTTTCAGACATTTCTTAGGTGTAATGTTCACCTCAAGTTCTTCTGTTATTGAAGTTTGACCATTTTTGCAGGGACCAGGTTGAAATTCCCACAACCTTACTAGCATTCAACATTCTTCTCAACTGCATTCAACTAGTTCTTTCAGGTAATAAGCCCAATAAGAAATTTCTATTTGGAATCATGATTAATAATTTGTCATATTATTTGATCATTGTGCTTTGTTTTCAGGTGTGGCAGTCGGATCTAGTTCACAAGGTGTAGTGGCATTTGTAAACATAGGTAGCTACTATATAGATGGAGTTCCTCTTGGTGTCTTCTTAGGATGGCTTCAATTTAGTATCACAATAAGTATAGTTATTGTGCCACAAGTTTTTAGCAAAAGAGTCTTCTCATTTCAAAATTATAAAAAATGACAGTACTCGAATTAGTTTATATACTTGAAACGTGAGTTCGGTTCATTTTTCTCTACTATATTTTGAGCCTGATGCTCAGTTGGGGCGTCTCAGAGCTTTTCCTTCTGCTTGGGCTATTAGGTTCATATCAACACTTCTGGGTAAAGGAATAGCTTTCAAAAGATGGATCAATTGCAGCAGTGACTGGACTACCTTTCTCAAATTTTTTCTGTATTAAATCTCTTTAATTTGCATTGTTATAATATGATTTTACATGCAATGAATTTTATCATGATTTTATTTATGTTTTTTTCTTCAAATTGCCTGTTTTGTTCGCCACTGTTATTCGATGAAGTCAACAAATCAAGGTGTTTTAAACTGATTCTGTTGTTAATATTTTAACATTTCTTGATGCATGTAGCGTTTTATAATATTAAACAATGAATTTTTGGTTCTTTTGAAGATGCAATGAATGCGATATTACAGATATTGGATTTTTTTAATTATGTTATTTAGAATGTTATAGTTTTTATTATTCATAGAAATACTGATGTTGGAAATGGAGTGTTTGGTAAATTTTTATGTAGATCTTAATCGTTGACAATAATGGCGTCAACAGCTGAGGCCATGGGATGATACAAAAGGAGAGTCAAAACAGTTCCATCTAGGGCTTTCTCGGTGGTAACAACCATGTTCAGTAACAGGGTTGGACTTCCACCGAAGAAAACCATTACCTTGGCATCTTTCATTGCTCCTAGACTGGTAAAGCTCATTTGAATATACTTTTGCATTTGGCTTAGATCCTTATTAAATTTAGGGGTTTTCTTGTTTGCTTGACATTTTCTTACTGATTAATTTAGTTTTTGTTTGGACAATGATTTTGTGGGATGAGAGTTACTTTTGAGAGTTTATATTGGGTTATTATTTTTTATTTTTGAAATTATATTTTAAATGAGAGCTTATACTGGGTTATTGTTTTTTATTGTTTTTCATCCAATTGCACCATTTGTTTCAATCCACCATGCTGAATATGTGGATCCATTTTTTCCTGGATTAAGTTCGTTAAACAGTTTAGAACTTTTTACAAAAGCTATGAGAATTGAACCCAGGAGCTTTCTATAACGATCAATCTATTGTGATCATGCTCGGCATCTCACTTTTTTAGTTTCACTCAGTTATGTTGTTCAAATGCTCGCAAATATTCTTTTACCTTGTGAGCTAGGACGTTTAGAGCAAACCTACATTGCCTGGAATAAATTAAGACACCCTATGAATTTGATCATGACACCAAGCGTTCTTACAAATCTGTTTGCAAAAAGCCAGTTATATTTTTCCTCAAAGATGTAACGAAAGATGGTAATGCTACATTGGGTTCATACGCTGGGGCCAAAGCCAAAGATGACCTGAAAAGAATGGTTTTCTACTTTCCACGTTCCCCTTGGTTGTAATACGTGCATAACATCCAGGTTTTAGGGTATCATTTTGGAAAGAATTGGCATTTGGTGTCTTCTAATAATTGTTTCCTAAGTTTTTTTTTTCCTCTTTAGGTAGTTTCTATCCTTTTCGGTTTCATGACGATTTCTAAGTATTATGGCAAGTGCCACGTCAGTTATGTTGCAAGATAAACGGTACTGGTGATGAACTCCTTAGATTAACAGTCGGGCAATGTGAGAACAAAGCTCTCAGTTCTTTTACTGATTCTTTATAAATGATAGAGGGATGTTGTTAAGCATACATACAGGCTTCAAGATGGACCTCAAACTATTTGTGTTTTATTCTTTTTAGCTGCATGGAAGTTTTTTGGGTTTGCCTTGAGATTGACATTGGAAATTTTTCTCATAAGCTTACTTCCCTATATTAGATGTTGGAGTGCTTTGTTGTACACAGCTGATAGAGTTAAAGATTAGTTTGCAACTTCAGTTCAATCATTCAATTGTTTGACTTCATTTTTCTTCAGAGGATATAATATTTTAAATAATTATTAACTCATTGTAGGGTTAAATGTTCTATGGCTCAAGATCTCTTGTAGTTGTTTAACTTTTTAGGGAGTTAAATGTTCTATGTCTCAGGATCTCATGTAGCTGTTTATTATTTCAGATGCATCACACTTTTGCCATTACAGGGTCTGATGATACTTTTAACTTGTGGGACGAGGATAGCAAACAAAGACTAAAGGTATCTTAAATCCTTTATCAATTTAAAAAACAAAAAGATTATTTATGATACATAACTGTTCCCTTTTTTTTGGTGAATAGCCTTCTTTCCTACTTGTGCTAATTGTTAGGAAATCAACATGCACACACAGTGCCTACACACAAAATAGCAAGCTCAAATCATGAATAAAAATACATAAATATATTTGTTTCGGTCCAACTCAAAATGACTTACCCCAAACCTAATCCACTAACAAATAAATTTTTACAACTGTGAGATTTTTGGAATGAAAAAAGTCTCTAAAAATTCCTTACTCAAAACTTAACCCAAAATCTAATTACATCATTTTAATAACCTACTCACCTAGCTATTTTTTTTTTGTCTAACTATCTGAGACTACCAAATCAAGACCAAAACATCTTATTTATAAGGGTAAAACCCCTTATACCTTTACTAAACTCTTGATATGAGATACATGACAAACTCAAAACTTTTATAACTTTCGATGTAAGATTATAAGATTCAAAGGCAAACTTCAACAAATCTTCCCTTGACTTGAATCTCCAAACGCTTCAACAAAATCTGCAAAGCTAACATGCTTGCCCTTCTTCTTTTCTTTCATCACAGGAATCCCAGCAACTGAGCCTACATCAAGTATGTACAAGTATTTTTTATCTTATTCCCTTGTAGAATCACACTACCATTCTTGTACACTTTCAACGAATCATTACTATCATAATATGTATACCTCCGAGAAGCTAACTCACCCAACACAATTAAATTGTAGCTACAACTTAGTACATACCTTACATGATGAAGCGTCCTAACAACACTATTGTGAGATTTAAGGCGAACACTCCCAATGCTTTGAATTTGCACTTTTTCATTGTTAGCAACCACAATATCCTCATACTTTTCATTCTCATCCAACTTCACAAAGCAACTCTTTTCATTGCAAACTTGAACTGTAGCAGCAGAATCTAAAACCTAACCTTTATCACATTTCAAAGTCTAAGTCTCATCCACACAAGTCGTCGAAACGACATCATCATCATCAGACATAACAGCAACTGTATCACTCTTTTCTTCATCGAATTTTTCTCATCATTTGCCTTTTTGAAAGCAGTCATATCCCGTCTCAACTTTTGCAGTGCATTTGGATATGTCCTTTTTCACCACAATAATAACATTTTATATCACTGTAATCTCTGTCTCTTGACTTAGATCTTCCTCTTGATCCATCAATCTTCTTTTGAGTCCTCCCCCGATCAAAACCTTCTACAGCTAGTGTACTTTCCCCAAGTGATGAGTTTTGTGCTCTCATAAACCTTTCGTTCTCACGTAACAAGGCAGTCACATCATCCAACTTCAAAGTAGACCTATCCACCAACAAAGTCTAAACTAAAAGTCTATAAGACTTAGGCAAAAATGACAGCAAAATTAAGGCCTTCTCTTTATCTTTTAATTCATCAATAGAAATTGCTAGCAATTAAGAAACTAATCTATTAAACTCATTCAGGTGATCATGAAGACTTGTACCTTCATTCATCTTCAAAGAATATAGATCCATCTTCAAACATAATTTGTTAGTCAATGACTTCGATGCATAAATACCCTCAAACTTATCCCACAAACTCTTTAAAGTACTTTTAGTCAATACACTATACTTTACCTCTGGGGCTAACGCCAATCTAATAGTACTAACAGTTTTCTTTTGAATTCTATTTCAATTACCATCAGATTTTTTCTCGGACTTACTATTTTTTGATGCCTGATCCAACCTTTATTGTACTAATAGATCTTGAATCGTACTTTATCATAACATAAAATTATTCTTTTCATCAAATAATGGAATTTCAAACTTAGGCATAGGCATACTAGACATACTTTCTTCAGACATATTGAAACACTGCTTCACGATCTCCTCGAACCTCGCTCTGATATCACTTGTTAGGAAATCAACATACACACACAGCAGTCACACACAAAATAACAAGCTCAAATCAAGAATAAAAATACATAAATATATTTGTTTAGTCCCAACTCAAAATGACCTATTTCAAACCTAATCCACTAACAAATAAATCTTTACAACTGTGAGACTTTTGGAATGATAAAAGTCTCCAAAAACTTCTTACTTAAAACTTAACCCAAAACCTAATTACACCCTTTTAATAGCCTACTCACCTAGCTATTTTCTTAGTGTCTAACTATCTGGGACTACCAAACTAAAACCAAAACATCTTATTTATAAGGGTAAAACCTCTTATACCTTCACTAAACTCCTGATGTGTGATACAAGACAAACTCAAAACTCTTATAACTTTTGATGTGGGATTATAAGATTCAAGGCAAACCTCAACACTAATATGGTTTAAAAATTAGTAAAAATTGTTGTTTTTTGAAAACTAATAACCAAGAAAACAGATAGCAGAGTTTCTCAACAGTGTTAGATTGGTTAAGGTAGGTGTGTTAGAAAGGTGGCACTGATTGTTAAAACATGGAGTTTGATATTGCTAATAGTAGCAACAAATACCAATTTGTCACTGACAGTGACACCATTACGTATTTGGCATCAAAAATCCAAAAAACCTTTCAACAAGCTATATTTTTTTTAAAAATCAATTCTACCAAATGAAAGGAGAATCAACATAAAATTGTTTGTCATTTCTTAAAATTAATTGAAAATGATAGCTCCAACAAAATGATCATCTATGTTGCTTTCTAGTTTAGTTATATAATGCTATCGTTTTTTTATTTTCAAACCATGTCAAGGTGCAGTTGGCCCATACCTTGTAGTACCTTCAACAATGATGGGCCAATATTAGTATACTTGGTTTCTCCTTTTCTGCAATACTGATTTTCTCTTTGCACTAGAAAAGATTTGGACAGTGATTCTCACATTGAATTTGCTATAGATTTGTTATGATTGGAGTAAGTGTGCTAAAAATAACAACCTTTCAATAACAAAGATCTAAATTTTCCTTCACTTGCCTCAGGTACATTAACAAGCATTATTCCATACTTGAACATTTATTGTATTCATTAAGCTTTTATTGATAAGAAATTTTCACTCTTGAATGCAACCGGTAATGCCTTTTGGAATACAAGAATATGAAGTTAAAGGCAAGCCAAGAGTCGAACAAGTGGTAGAAAGTGAAGGATGATTTTGATTAGAAAATTATCGAACCTAGAGGAAAGGATTTGCCTTTTTTTTGTCGCCATTCATTCTCTCTTTCCACAATTAGAATAAGAACAAGTTTTCTAATACTAGGAATGCTTCGCCTTGGGTCATTTATCTCTTTTAATTTATGTTTAAATAATATTTTTTATAATGTTTTGATTGCCTGATTGCTTAAATGATGTATTTTAGGTTTTTTACATATCTTTTGAGATACGGTAGAAAGCTTTTGAACCAAAGGTTTTCTTAAGAAGAGTTCAATGTTCAAGGCATTAAAGACTTGAGATCTCTTTCCTTATGGTTGAGTTTTATTGAATATATGTTCCTATAAGTAAGCTAAGATATAGTAAACGAAACTCTCCGAGTCTTAAATTAGGTGACACCAATTTTCAGAGCTTTAAAAAATAGATGTTTTTCTTACATTTTGTGCTTATTGCTCCTACAGCGAAGTGTGGGTTTCTTTATCTAGTTAGAATTATATTCAAAGCATGTTGAGTTCAATTCAATTTATTTTAGCTATTATTTTAGTTAATTTTGCTAGTTTGCTTATTTTACATGTTGCAACTTTACTTCTTGCTAGAATCATGTATTGCTCTTGGTTTTATTCAATTGATGTTACAGCTTAGCCTAGTATACACCTTTTAATTGAATCAATTTTAGAGAGAATATGAGGATGATAGGTAATTAGATTAAGAATTCTTTAGCTAATTATTGTGGGAACGATATATTAACTTTTGGTCATGATTATTACTTGAACAATTTGTGTGCTTACAAAAACGTCCCGATCAAATATTAATTTAAAATTTATTTGTCAAACATTAACATAGGCCTAATATTTTTTATTCTAAGTGTCATCATTTTTCAAATATAGTGAATAATTAGATAAACTTTATATGATTGAAAAAAGCATCATAATCTTTTTTTCTTTTGACATATTATAAGTTTAAATATGATAAGTATTCAATAAGATATGATTGAAAAAGTATATATAATAATTTTAAATATTACACGAAAATTATATGAAAAAAGACACGAAAATTATATGATTTAAAGTTTTAACAAAAATTGTATATAAGTTAAAAAAAACAAAATAAATGTCTTATATTTGACATGTCATCATGAATTGTTAAATAATTTTTTTTATTTTACATATATATTTAATACGAAATAGACATAACATGAATACATGAATTAGCATATCTATGAAAAAATTAAAATGCTAAAATTAGTTATGGCCTTTAAATTTACACTTTTGTTCTTTTGTTATTTAATCCATAATTATGATAATCGAATAGAAGAATGAACCGTTCAAGGTGTCGGGTCACTAGGCCACTAATTCAATTGACCCACTAATTCAATTGCTGGTTTGATAAGGTCAATTGTCAAACTCATAAAGATATTAAAAAATATAAATATTTCAAAAAATTAATCCTATTATGTAATAAATAATAAAATTTCATTGTAAATAATTTCATACTTAAAAAATTATAATATATAATATAATATAATAAATGTGAAAAAAGTATATATTTTAAAAATATATAATAAATTTAACTTACAAAAATATATCTAAAATTCAAACTCCTAATTCAAAATTTCAAAATAATAGTCAAATAATTTAATCATATTAATTAAAAACCAAACAAAAATAAATACCCTAAAAATTTGAAAAACACAAAAAAATTCTCAAAAAAAGAAAAAATAACTATATTTTCTAAGTTGATATTTTTATTGTGCATAAAGTGTAAGTGGGAGTAATACCATTTTATTTAGATTCTAACTTTTTTAGTTTCTATTTTACTTTATAATATGTTATTATAGTTAAATAAAAATTTAATCCATAATTTCAATTATAAAAACTAAATTAATCATAATTTTTAAATCAATTTATTAGCATTTGAAACCCAATGGGTTTAACAAAAATCAATTAATTCACCATTTTATTAATTAAATTGTTGGTTCAATACAATTTTAAAGCAAGTTAATTACAATTTCAATCTACTAAAAAATCAAATAGGTTTAGGTATCAGTTCAACTCGTTCAACCGATAGTCTTGTCCACTTCTAATAACTATAATTTCATCTAAGAAAATTTATTAAATATATTGACAATGGAGGTTTTAAATAAGGTATATGCCATTTTGTTAATCCGTTTTAGATTTAAAATACTCTATTGATAGTATATCAAATAATTTCTCATAAACATAATCTAATCATTAATGAAATTAAAAGCATTGTATCTATTAACCGAACTCACATAGTATTGATCAAACCGATTTGGCATTGACAAAAATAGCTTGAAAAAAATTTTAAATTAAAAAAGATGATATAGATTTTTTAGTTATGTGACCTATTTATATGGCTTTTTCTACCTTCGTCCTCCTTTTTCTTTCTTTTTTTTTTTTTTAATATTTTTGTTAACAAAATGTTATGTCTCACTTTTTTAAAATATATTTTATAAAATATACACAAAAAAGATGTGTATTATTATAGTAATTTGGTTTGTGAAATTTAAAAACTTCATTATCAATATGTTTGATAATTTTTTTATATTTAATAATTCATAAAAGTTCATGAATTCAATTTTGATACATTAACACATACGGACTAAATCAACCATTTCATGCACTTACAAGAATCAATTGTACGATTTCACCTATAAGAAATAATCACTAAGTCAACAAGTTCCATGAATAAATTGCAATTAGAAAGAGATTCTAACCCTTGAATTTGGGAAAGTAAGTTGTAAATTGTAGAAGAAAAATAACATAAAAATTAGACCAACGAGACCTTAGTTTAATCGTAAAAAAAAAAAAAATCTTAAAATTTTAAAATTTTAGATTCAAATCTTATTATACATAAATTTATTTTAATTTTATGTAAATACTTAATTATAATTATAATTTGTACTTAATTATGATATTATCAACCTTGATTCTATGCATTGAAAGGTACTATAACTAATTTAATACCGAATGTATGGTGTGTATTGTAGATATTCTACCCAAAGTTGTTGTAGACAAAATGCAAAATCATGTAAGTCAGACCGTTGAGAACATATGGCAGAGGGCGTTGACGGCCGTTTGTGTTGACTAGAAGATCTCGATTTGTGAATTGCCCACAGTGACCGGGCCATATCACTATGTTAGTCCTCCATTGCCAGTTACCCTTCTACCCCTTCTGCTAATTACAGTGTTTGCTTAATTATTCGAGAAATAAATAGAGAAATAAAGAGAAAGGGGTAGTAACTACAATAAACGGATTCCTGTGAAAGAGACTAGCACTTGCGTATATATATTTTCTACATTTAAAATTATAATCTACTAAATAATATCTTATAAGAATAATTATACAAACCAAATTAAAACCACCTACATATTTTGACCAAATGGAAGAATGAGATTCATAAACAGATTACTTTGCAACAAGAAATTCACGGTTTGGCAGAATATGTAATCGTATTTTGACCAAATGGAAGAAAGGAGTTTCAATGGTTTTTGCTTGATGCGATAGTGATTTCAATCTCAAGAATTACTATTACTGAGTCACGCAATCTTGCAATCTTACCAAACATATTCACAAGACAATTGTAACAAAGTTTTCTTCTGCCCAAACATGTACCATAAAAATATCTTCAGCAAACAAGAGCTGTTATTTGCTGCAGGCTTTAGGACTATAATGTACAAATCTGATAATAATTTCATTTAAATGGTTTGCTGCATAGATTGAATATACAATAAGCATGTCATCCATCTATTTATAACCCTTTAATTTTACATCTCGGGCGGACAAGAAGGGATTGGCTTGAAAATCTTGGTAGGACACTAAGGTTTCAGGCCTTGTGCATATGTACATATCTTAGACTAAGCATTTTCATCTAGTGAAAGTAACAGAATAATTGAAGAATAACTGAGCATTGGATATAGATTGGCATCAAGGAATTGAGCATATTGTTTGATGGCAATATCTCTTTCTGGGAGTTCACTGGACAGAAAATCAAATGGTACAGGCTTACTGGTGTCCACCAATGGCTCCCATCTATATCCTGGACGCTCTGGCAATGTAATCGTGACAGGTAAATGACTGGTATTAAAAGCAACATAGATTTCTCCCTTCACAGAATCAATCTGGGTAGAAGCAAATGATAATAAAACTCAATCCAGTGAATGTACTGAGACAGAAAGAGAGATAGATAGGATTGAGGATACAGATAAAGATTTCACAGTAATCTAATAAGAAAACAGTACTATAAGCAAGGATGAACCATGTTTACAGATCTTTATTCTATTAACATCTTAATTCCATCAAATCTTAGTACCTTATGCCTAGTTTTTCTGTTTTTTGCACCAACTCGTGGAAGCAAAAGTTCATTGTAAGAAGAAAGAACGCAAGGTTCCCAGATATATTAAGCAAACAAATAGGCCTCAAATTTGAGGTTTTGGCAGATCATGAACCTCCTGCTGTCACATAAAGTCACCCTAAACATTTGAATTATCAAGCAAGTTACTGTTTTCTAAGTGTTAGAACCATCTTGAATCCAAATGCAGAACTGCTGTTATGATGTTTGCATAAGTGCTAAATTACCAAGATATTTCTTGCATTTGTTTAATATAATTTTATGGATTCAATGGTCCTGTTAGTATTTAAGGGATTATTGGGATGGCATTTAAGGTTTTGTTTGGTATTTCATATTTATGTTGGGCTTAAGAATTAGCCTATAAGTACCTATGTTATTTCAGCACTTAATAGATATAAAGTTCTATTTTTTTTTGTATTCTTTTTTGGTTTTTTTTTTTGGGGGCGGGGGGGGGGGGGGGGGGGTTGTGGTGTTATAAAAGGGGTGATATCAAGCTTTCGATTATTGAGATATTTAGACTTTGAAAACTAATTGAGACATAAGAAAGACTTGAGTTTTTCCAAATTGAAATTTCGGTAGAATTTCTTTAGTGTTTAGTTTTTTTGGTGGTCTATTTTGAAATTGTTGGTTTTGCATCAATTTTAATCACCATTAAAGCTCAGCAGAGCTCGCATCACCCTTTTCCAGCCATGGTGGTTCTTACTACCGACCATCAAAAAAGAAAACAAAATAAGAAGATGAAAAGTCCAGCCAAATCCAAAAAAGATCACTGCAATCATATGATCTCAATAATATTCAATAACTCTGCCTGCAAACAAGATTCATTAACTGATTCAACTGAGTTGCTGAAGGCAGAACAGAAAAGTGATAATGAAGATGTTAAGTTGTGGATCCATCATAGATCTTTAATTATTGGGGTCGAAGGAACCAATAATGTGAAAGACCAATAAAGTTTTAAGGAACTAATATCAGAGAAGCGAAAGCCAAAAGCTAATAACTAATGAAACAATGTGAAATCATTTATCTGAACAGTTGGGCACAAAGAACAAGATTTTCAAAGTGAAAATGCTGATACTGAACAAATTGGTTTGAAGAATTATAATAAAATCCAAGGATGTCCTTGCAAGTGAACACTTTAGTTATACACTACCCAATGAAAATCCTCCCATTTACATTATTCTTCCTCTTCTGAAGAACAAATGTTGCATTTCGTGCAAAAGAAGATGTTTAAGGAAGGTTTTTCAATCAACTTCCTTCTTCTAAGCATGTTCAACTAGGCAAAAGCAGCATGCTGATATAATTCAAAACTCTACCATTTATGTTGCAGTTCAATGATTGTGTTTGTTTTCTTACAATGCAGTACTTTAAATTTTGAATCTATTTTCTCTGACGTAAGGAGACTGATCTGGTTCAGAAGCATGTTTGTGAAGGATAAAATTTATCATGAGATATTTTATTGATTATATATTTTTCGGTTCACATGTTAATTTATAATTCAAGGAATTATAATGGCATTTTAGTGTAACATTTGGTATTTTTTATTCATGTTAGAATTTATGTTTCAATGTTATTTCAGTTTCGAAGAAATTTAGATTATTAAAATTAAAATATGGAGACTATGAATGTTGATATCAAGACTTGAGAATTGAGCAATTGGCAATTGACATTTCAGGTTATATATTCAGTTTCACTAGAATTCTTACAACAGCATTTAGTTTCATTGGATACTAATTGAGATTGGTTCTACATCATGGGGACAATTCAATAATTAAAGCATTTACTTTCATTCTTTCATAACAGGTGAATCTTTGAAAACATAGCCCCCTTCTTCTATGAACTTGCCTATTTTAAGGAGTAAAATACATCAAATATCCATCATCTTTATCCAATATTTCATTTTCATCTATAACTTTTAAAACTCAATTTTTTTCATGCATAACCTTTTAAAAATGTTCCAAATTCATCCATTCCACAAAATTTAACAAAATTTGTCACCTCAAAGTCACATGTATCTGCATGTGGATGTCCACATGGCAAAGAAGGTGTGGGCTCCTTTGATTTTTGAGCTAAGATTTACATCATGTGGACATCCACGTGGGTTGACACGGTATATTCTATTAAAATTTTAAAAACAATAGACAAAATCGATGAAATTAGAACATTTTCAAAAGGTCCTAATAAAAAAATTGAGTGTTAAAAGATGTAGATGAAAATAAAATATTGCACAAAGATTATGGATATCTGGTGCATTTTACTCCTATTTTAAGCTTGCCCAAAACATTGTCCAGGATATTTTATATTTCTATACTTATTCTTGTAACATTCAATTATGGTTACTTCATGTAGGTTAACATGTTCTATAGCATGTGGACACTGTAAAATAGAGTAACCTAATTGCAGTCAAAACTAGTCAGCTAGAGATCAGACCACTGTGTTTTTAAAGCTTGTTAGTAGTATAATTTATACTAGATATAATATTCCTTATCCTGCAAAACAAGCTCAAGTACCAGCGAGTAAAAGTCCAAATTTAAGGATACAGCATGAAGGTTCGATAAGAAGGGTACCATTGTAAAAGCCACAAAACGGCTCGCATCAGACCAATCTGGCATTCCAGGATTGTGACCATGCCACTGCAGCCTCTCTGCTGTTGGGAAGTCATTTAAGCCAAGTGACTCACATTCACTGCATGATTTCAACTCATATCAAATGAGAAAAATGCAGAACATCAAGAAAGAAAATAACAGAGGCAAATTCAGTGTCTCAAAAAGGTGCTTACTGGCGGAACTTTGTCATGAGACAGCAGAACCTGAAGAAGTCTGATGAAGACTCTTCCTTTTTATCCCACCGGAAGTAGTTAATCTGTATGGTGACTTACGATTATTTAACAATATCAACAATAAGGTTTAACATAAATTTGGACCTCATGAGGGAATAGAGGATCACATTATTATCATGGCAGTATGTATTGTTGTTTCCTCCTTTTGTATGACCATATTCGTCACCCATGCAAATCATTGGTACACCCTGGTTAGATGAAGATCATAGTTAGCAAGAAATAATCAAAGATGATGAAAAGCCAACCACAAGCTACAGGAATAAATAATTTAGTGAAAAGTAATACAAAAAAATGGCCCCAAAGTTTGAACCAATCTTTATATCTTACTATGATTTCAAATGGGACCCTGCAAGTGTTCTATTGTCATTAGTTTAGGCTGTGTTTGTCAAACTGGCAGCAATTGCCATATACGGCGATATCGCCTTTAAGTGGTAGATGAACAGACAGCCAAATTGCAGCCTTTATCTCCCACAACTTAGATTTAAAATTCACTGCCTAGTTTTAAAAGGGGTATAAATAATTCTGATTATCTATGTTTCTGTTCAGAACAAAATGACACCCTTGGATTGAAGAGTCTTCATTTAAACTTCAAACTCAATGATTAGGATATTAAGAGGGCGGCTTCCAACTAGGTTTACTGAACTCAAGCTCAATTAAAGGCCACACTCTCATACTATTGAATGCAACCTCATATATAAAAGGAAATTTGAGCTTGAGTTGTAATCAAGCTCAAATGTTTGACCTGGAGCTCACATATTAAAAAAAAAAAAAAAAAAAAAATTCAAGCTTGATTGCTAGAGCAAGCTCAAACTTGAGATATCTTTCGAAATCATAATTAGAACCATGTTATTGATTGTAGATCTAATTCTCCTACATTAGTGTAGCTTGATTTCCTAATTTATTTTGAGAATATTTCTCATTTATTCTTCTGATTTAGTCAACTCTTTTAATTGTCAAGTTTTTAGGGATTTGTTTCTATTTTAGAATAGAACAATTCTTCTTCCTTTTATTATTTTTTGTTTTCTGTTTCATGTAAGTTGTTTCCTAATAAGGAACTTCACTATTCCAATTTATTTAGATGTACTTCTTCATTCTAGATAGAATAAGAAGAAATAAAGACAATTATTCTTTAAGTTTTCTACATGGTATCAGAGGAAGTCAGCCTGAACCATTAGATTGTAACCACTCGAGTTTCCATTATGGCTAGCAAGAGTGAGAACTCTTCTTCTACAGAGGTATGACATGAGGAAAGTCACAAAGAGGTAATGCTCCAACAAACCCTTCAAAACAAGTCTACAACCTTTGGAACTAGTTTACTAGTACAAAAAGGTAATTTCCTAAATGCCTTAAGTGTTTAAAGGGGAAATACACAATCTTAGATTGTTGATTCAAGAGCATCAGATCACATGACTGGAGATGCATCCTTACTCAACACATAGACCTTGCTATGATAGTTCTGCTGTAAAAATTGCCAATGACTCTCTCTCAAAGGTGGCAGGAACAAGTTCTATTGTAGTTTCAAAAGACATAACACTTAACTCTGTCTTCCATGTCCCTAATTTAAGCTGTTACCTACTTTTCATCAGTAAGCTTATGAAGGATAGATGTTGTGTCACTAAATTTTTTCCCAACTTGTGTGAATTTCAGGAATTAGGCTCAAGGAGAATTATTGGCAGTGCTAGGATGTGTGTAGGGCTCTACCTTCTTCAAGATAATGCACTTAAGAGACCACAAAACTCCTGTACAGCTTTAGCCTCTACTACCAGTAAAGATGACCTTATCATGTTAGGCCATTATAAATTAGGACATCCAAATATTCCATACCTAAAAAGGCTATTTCCCTCATTAGTCAATAACATCTCTAAAGATTTTAAGTGTGAAATTGGTAAACTTTCTAAGCACACTTGAAATACCTTTCCTAGCTTTTCCTATAAATCATCTCAGCTTTTATCAATGATTCATAGTGACATTTGAGGACCATCAAGAGTTAACAATACCACAAGTTCTAGGTGGTTTGTTACATTCATCGATGATCATACTCGACTCGGGTATTCCTTATGAAAGAAAATTTCGAGGTTAGCCAAATCTTTCAAAACTTCAATAGCATGGTACAAACCCAATTCAAAGCCAAAATCCAAGTTCTAAAAACTAACAATGGAAGGGAATCCTTCAACTCTATTCTCGGCCCTTACCTTGCAAATCCTGGCATTATCCATCAAAGCTCTTGCGTCAACACTCCATAGCAAAATGGGGTTGTCAAATGCAAAAACAGGCTTTTGATAGAAATGACCAGATCCTTCTTGTTGACTTCCAATGTGCCTAAATATTTTTGGAGAGAATCTATCCTCACTGCAACTTATTTGGTTAACCGAATGCCTTCTCGAGTTCTTGGCTTTAAAACACCTTGTCAAACTCTCCTTGCTTCCTACCCACAAACTTGGTTGATCTCTTCCATTCCCATCAAACTCTTTGGCTGCATTGCCTTTGTTCATATTAGCCAACAAAACCGCAGCAAGCTTGATCTTAAAGCCTTAAAATGCATCATTCTTGGCTATTCCCCAAACCAAAAGGGCTATAGGTGTTACTCACCTATCACAAAAAAATTCTATAGCTCTATGGATGTCACCTTCATTAAGAATCTTCCATACTACAGCAAGAATGATATTTAGGGGGAGAATACGACTCAGGAATATCAATTCTTAGCTGTTGACTTGCCAATTTCCCAACCAGCCCCAACTAGCCCCAAATTCCCAACCAGCCCCTTCAAAACCAGATTCTCAACCCACCCAACCTGTTCAGACAACTCTTGACTCTTCAAACCCTAAGATTACGCAAGAAAAAACCAAAGAACTAATAGTCTACTCAAAGAACCAAAAACCATAGGAAGAAGTGGACAACTGTACATAGCCCAACACCAAAAATCAACCTAATCTAAGTCTCCAAGAACCTGAAACTAACACAAGTAATGTCCCTATTTAATCTGAAACTGAAACTTGTGAGCCAACTGGTGACCTTGACATTCCTATTGCATTAAGAAAAGGTGTAAGATCATGCACTTGGTACCCTATCTGCAAGTACATCTCATATGACTGGTTAAATCCAAACTTTCGAGCCTTTACTACTACCCATGACAATGTGCAAATTCCAAAAAATATTCAAGAAGCCCTCAATGAACCAGATTGGAAGGCAGTAGTTCTTGAAGAAATCAAGGCACTAGAGAAGAATGGGACATGGGAAATTTCATATTTGCCTAAAGGGAAAAACCGGGTTAGATGTAAGTGGATCTTCACAATAAAGCACAATATAGATGTAAGTATATATAAATTCAAAGCTAGACTTGTTGCTAAGGGGTTCACTCAATCCTATGGGACAGAGTATGAGGAGACATTTGCTGCAGTAGCCAAACTCAATTCAATTAGAGTTCTATTGTCACCAGCAGCCAACTTGGATTGGCTTCTCCACCAACTTAACATCAAGAATGCATGCTTAAATGGTGACTTGGAGGAGGAGGTCTACATGGAAATCCCTCCTAATTTCAAAAGGCAAGACAACATATCTTTGTATGGATTTAAACAATCTTCTCAAGCTTGGTTTGAACAATTGACGAAGGCAATGAAGAGGTATGGATTCCTTCAATGTCAATCTGACCATATTATGTTTGTTAAGTTCACTAATGTAGGAAAAAGAGTTATTCTTATTGTTTATGTGGATGATATCATAATCACTGAAGACCACAAGGAAGGAATAGATGATTTGAGAAACTCCTTGCAAAGGTGTTTAAAATAAAAGACTTGGGGTTCCTTAAATATTTCCTTAGGATAGAAGTGGCTCGGTCTAAGAATGAAATATCAGTGTCTCATCGTAAGTATGTACTTGATTTACTCAAAGAAACTGACATAATTGGATGCAAACCTGCTGATACACCCATAGACTCAACTAATAAAATTGAAAGTTAAAATGGAAGCTATCTCACGGACAAAAGGCAATACTAAAGACTAGTTGGGAAGCTTATTTACCTCTCCCACACACGACCTAATATCGGGTTTGCAGTAGGGATGGTGAGTAGATACATGAATAATCCAACCAAGGAACATCTCAAGGCTGTTCATTGCATCCTATAGTACTTAAAGAAAAGTCCCGATGAAGGTCTATATTTTCAGAAGTCAACGGACAGGGCAATCAAGGTGTACACAGATGCTGACTGGGCTAGATCAGTAACAGATAGAAGGTCTACTACTAGATATTGCACTTATGTTTGGGGCAGTTTGGTTACTTGGAGAAGTAAAAAGCAAGCTGTTGTAGCTAGGAGCAATGCTAAGGCCGAGTTTAGAGCAATGTCCCATGGTATTTGTGAAGGAATTTGGATGAAGAGGTTACTTGGAGAATTAAAAGTTCGGACTGTGACATCTATGAAACTGTTTTGTGACAATAAGGCTACTATAAGTATTGCCAAAAATCCTGTTTATCATGATAGGACCAAGCACATAGAGCTGGATCGACATTTCATAAAGGAAAAGATAGAAAATGGGTCAGTCAAACTAGCCTCTATACCTACAAGTTCACAAATTGCAGATATTCTTACTAAAGCTCTTTCTAGAGCGTTTTTAACAGATTGAAATCCAAGTTGAGTATGATTAACATTAATAACCCAGCTTAAGGGGGAGTGCAGATCTTATTCTCCTACATTAGTGCAGCTTGATTTTCTAATTTATTTTGGGAATATTTCTCATTTATTCTTCTGATTTGGTCAACTATTTTGATTGTCAAGTTTTTAGGGATTTGTTTCTATTTTAGAATAGAATAATTCTCTTTCCTTTTATTATTTTTTGTTTTCTGTTTCATGTAAGTTGTTTCCTAATAAGGAACTTCACTGTTCCTATTTATTTATATGCACTCCTTCATTCTAGATAGTATAAGAAGAAATAAGGACAATTGTTCTACAAGTTTTCTACATTGATGATTCATATTTCAAATAAGTTTTGCATATATAACAAAAATTAAGAAAAATTTCAAATCCTGTTTCTTAATCCAATTCAAATATAATGTTAGGGATACCAAAGTATCCCAAATAAAAGAATCTAAAAAGAAAGAAAAAGTTAAAACATCACAAATAGCATTTAAAATGATTGCAAATCAAAGTTACTAAATGGTGTTATTCCATACTGGTTAAGTTTAAATTTTGCTTAACATTATATTAGAAGCCAGATTGTTTGTTGTCCCATTTGTTACATTGTTTGTTTTCTTCTATTTGTTTTCTGACACATGTTTCATCTATTAGTTTCAATTGTTAGCATGTGACCTAAAAGTGAGGGGAAGTGATAGAAGGGCGCTATCCTACATTTATTTTTAGAATTAATTGTGACCTTTATATTCAAGTTAAGCCTCCCTACCTCATTGCCAATTAGTTTTAAGTTGAATGTTTATAGAAAGGATCATATTAAACAAGTTCTATAATCACAAGTAAAAGAAGGATATATGTTCTATCCCTAAAAATTATCGAATAGTATTTCTATCTCTCCCCTTAAAATGAGCTTATTGGCAAGTCAATAGACGAGTTTATGATAAGTTCATAAACAAGATTTACTGAAGCTGCTCATGAACATTATTTGTAAGCATGAGTGCATAACCAAGTTGAGCATGGGTGCTTTCGAACTCAACCTCATTTACTAAGACCCCATTTGGTTGTTACTTTTACTACCTTTTTGCCTCTGAAATCAAACAAAAAGTGTCCTTGAATCCAGAAGCCCAAAAAATGTAGCATTTAGTGTTAGAATGAATTGCATGGATAACAAAAAGAAAAGTTTTACTTTATTTAAATAGGTGTTACTTTCTAGAAATTTGATCATTTTTAACCACTTATAATTTTACTTTTACTTTATAACAAAATCCTAAAACAAAAATAGAAAATAGCCAACAACAAAAGCAATAACCAATCATAGCATAACAAGCTTGAAAGGTTCAAACCCAATCCTAATAAATAAATTTAAACTCAAATTAAGTCAAGTTCAAGTCTTGCAACCAACTTTGTACTGCTTGCTAAAGCAACAAGGCATGCTTTTTAGTTTAGATGATCATCATGATAGAAACATTACCTTCAATTTTATTAAGAAGCCCTATCAAATCAAACATATGCCATGTCTTGTTGGCGTTGCCAGGGTAATTTCCATTTCTGTTTAAGCTAGGCTCTATAAATTTTCTTGGTTTAGTACTTCAATTAACTGTCGTTCTTTCTTTGAAAGGCAAGGCAAAAAGAATTTTATTGATAAGGAAGATAGCAAGAGGAGATCCTCAAATAAGAGAGCATGAACATCACCCACCTGAAACTCCTACAAAAGATAGAAACAACACCTAACTCGAAAACAAAGACCCCTTTAGACAACCACTTTCAGCGAGAAAATAATTTAATTATCAACACAACAAAGGAAGCAAACATGAACTCTGAAGCCCAAATGCCTCCATTTAGAGAAAAGCCATGACATAACAAAATACTCTTAACCATTAAAATAATAGTATAATTATAGCAACCAAAACATTTATTTCCTCAGAAAGTAGTATTTTTCCAGTAGATATTGTGTCTCTTTCTAGCATTGTTGTTTTATATCGAACTACTTTCTTCCATTTAATTTACTTTAATAAACAGAAAACTTGCATGGCTATCTTTCTGTACTTAGTCACTGGTTGCCTAAGTTACTTTTGATAGAGTTTATAAGACATACAAATTCCATAGTATGCTTTTGAATATCAATAACCATTGATAAAATTCTTTCCTTCCTAGATCAACTATTAATGAGAAGATACCTCGGTAGAAATAATTCATTTCAAACGAAGTACAAACTACAATTTATTAGAGTATAACTAGTATGTTAACAAACTTGCCACCTATAACTAAAATAATGGAAGAACAAACAAGAGCTGATTTACAGTGTAGTATCAACAGTCATGATTTACGTAGGTCAGACTTTTCTATCTGATAAAACATGCCAAGAATGAAGTTTAATCTAGAGCCCTATGCTCAGGTGCTCAAGTATAGAATGTTAACGACTAAAAGTAGCCAACTTAGAGAAACTTACAGTCTAATCTGCTTTAATTGTTGTGTTTACTTCTAATGTAAATACAAATAATAGTAGTCCCATACGAAGAAAATAATGCAAATGTGAATAACAGTGATTTAACCTTACTTGGGAAACCATAAGGCAGAGGAAGAAATTCCGCATTTGGCGTTTCCTCAGTTTCTTCACAGAAATACTTGCAAACTCACCCTCCTAAATAAGCATGTGCCCACAAGTTAGTAGTCTATTAAAGCTTTAGTCCAAGTAAGAAAATTTCTGTAGCAGGATAAAGCATGAAAGCTGCAGAAAAGCTTTTGACATGAGCCAGGCATTCTGCTATCCCGATTGTCTTACTGATTCTCTTCCCAAAACAAGAAAGAATTTCTTTCACTACACTAAATAGGAAGTTACATTTGTAGCAGTTCAAGAATTGCTCTATCCCCGAGGTCACTCTCAAGAGTACGACCGGAGGCCCATCTTCTTACTTAACGAGTTTGTGTCGCATAAAATAATCAAATTAATGGATTTATGTTTGATGATCCAGTTTAGTAGTTAAAAAGTACAATGTTATAGATACAAATAATGTAAAAACTACAGACTGCATAACCTTTAATAAGCCCCCAAGATCTCTTTCGAGGTTTTCAGAGCATTCCCATATGGTTGTTTTTCCAATTGCCCAATCACAATATTGATGAACTCTAAATCAACTAATGAAGATCAAGGTACAGAAAGTTAAATTTTAGTTGCCACATTTTTTTCTTCATTTTGTTTTTCCTTAATGTATCTAATGGCAACATTGCCACAGATTTGTCAAATAATCAAATGCATAAGAAGAATTAATTAGCTCAATAAAAAACACTTTCTCTCACTATGTTTCTTCTTCAAGTAATTTAAACCATCAAAATCATTTGTTTCTCTTTTGGACCTTTCTGGTCAAACAAAAGGCCATTTGCTTTGTGTTCCGAATTTGGTCAACTCAAATCTAAATTAAAAAGTTACAGGCACTGAAATATGCATGATATCTTCTTTCTTGAACTAAGCAAACATGGTATCTTTCATATCATGAAAAGAATCAATAGATGCTTTTGTTATTTTGCAAAATTGACAAATGGGGAAAGAACTAGGAAACTATGCATGAAGAAAGATGCATCAAAAGACAAAACCAAATTAATTGTTGTTTATACAAAGTTTTCAAGATATCATATTTCCCTTTGTATTATTCTAACTTTATAAGGTGCAAATCAAGATATGTGCATCAAGTATATGAGCCAACATATTGTCAGCTACATCATACAATAGATTGAATGAATACGGTACAGTATAAATGGCAGAATAAAGCTAGAAAAAATTGTGTAGTTATCCATTTTCCATTTTATTATTAGATGCATGTGAATATAGATCCACCAAGCACACAGGCAACCGTAATGTTCACAATGTCACAATTCAAGCCATCATGTCACTGATTATGTCAATTTCATATAATCATCTGTGATGTTGGTGACCTCATTCCACTCTTCAACATCAAGCATCAAATAAAATCAAATACAAGCATGAATTTAAAGTTTAGCCAATATCTACCTGTCCACAGTTCCAGCTATTGTTATGACTTTCTCCATCATTGTTGTCTTCCCCATTTGCTAAGTTGTGTTTGTTGTTATAGGTAACTAGATCTGCCAAAGTAAAACCATCATGTGCACATACAAAGTTGACACTGTTCCATGGTTTCCTTCCTCCTTCCTGATTTACAGATACAGTGAGGATATAAAAAAAATGAGTACTCTGTATATAAAACAGAAGATTCCACTAGAGTTCAAAAATATAATGTATGAGAAAATGTATGTCAACATAAGCTGCAAGAAATGCAAAATTCTAATTTAAAGGTCAAAAAATATTTTAAGAAAATCTTAGGAAACTTTATAAGAAAGATAATAAGACCATAACAATCCGCTTGTTCTGTGGCGAAGGGTTTTCGAAAGACAGATCATGGAAGACAAACCTGATATAAGTTAGGGCTGCCACAAAGGCATTCAGCAAAAGCTCCAGAAAATCCATCTGTACCCTTGATGAACTGACGTACAATATCACGATACTGAAATGGAAAGGAATATGCATATCAATCCAGAAACAAAATTTCCATAAAACAAAATATAGATGCATTTAAAATGTCAGCTGGATTTGCGCTCAACTAGGAATCTTAGCATCAAGGAAGACAGGAAAAACAGAAGATTCAACATGGAAGGAGAAAAGTAGGATCACCCAAAGTTTTAGTTTGCTCGGATTGTCATTCCAGTACATTTGGAACCCAATACAAGAGTAAAGTCAATATCTGAAAATTAAGTATTGAGATATGGTTTGTAAAGATTAACTGCAGGTGGAAGTAAAATTTGGCAGTTAGTAGAGGCACCGTTATCAGCTCAAAAAAATACTGGGAACAGCAAAAGTGGTATATGACCAACTCCCAGTCCATTACAAACTCTAAACTCTAGCATTTATGCCTAAAGCAGAAACAAGAACCATAAGATCTCAAAATTTATTAATCTCTTAAATATTTAGGAGCTGAAAAGAAGCTATATTGATGGTTCTGGTCCATGCTCCAAGAGTGAATGCATCAACCTCAAGAGTTAACAAGTATTAGCACTTTCCTTGATAAAGAAGAAATACTTTCCTTAATAAAGAAGAAATAAGCAAAAGGGTATAATACAATGCTATAAACTTTGCATTGATCAGTGTTATTAAATCTCCAGTCACAAAAAAAGGATTGGACTGATATCATGAAGAGTTTAGCATCAGCAATAACCTTCCCATTCCATTCTGACCAAATACCCCAGTGAGGAAATGTGCCAACTTGATACAGGCCACCTGTATCCCATGCTTCAGCTATAAGCTAAATAGAAAGTAACAAGAAATTTGGTTAGTTTTTCTTTAAGTCAGGAATACAGATAGTAAAACAAAAGGAAAAAAGAAAAAGTGACACGGGGGAGAAAGGAAATAAATGCATCAGAAATGTCATATAGAAAGAAAAGAAAGGAATACAAAGGGCAGTTTGATAATTTTGCAAGGGCATTGTACTTAAATTATTTTATGTGGTTAGCTAACAATTTTCTTGAACATGCTTCAGTCCAGTGTAACTAACTGCTTGGATAGATATGTGCATATAGAATCGATAAGAAAAGAGTTAATTTCAAGAGGTTTTATTGATTCTGCACTTTATCTAAAGTACATAGATATATGTATTAATTGGGAGTTTTTTTATAGGTAAAAAGAACTTTTTCATTTTTGTTATTTGAATAAATTTATTTAACTAGACTTCACTCTATATTTAAATCATTTCAGAAGTAGAAAAAAATACATACTACTGAACATGCATTAGGTTGTTAAAGAATTTAATTTTATGAAGAAAATTTCTATCCATATATAAACTATGTTGAACTCAACTAAAGAGCATTTAGACTATTCATAATCATTCCAAATCACATATACGTATATCGATATATTTATTCTATTAATAAGTTAAACAAAAGAAAAAAAAATGTCTCTCACTGCAACGCACGGGCATACCTGCTTGTATCAACTATGAGACAGCTAAGTATTACTAGTGTCTATAACCATGTATTTTGACATATTCCTAGGGCAAATTCATTCCCTTGTGACTGACCACAACACCCAGACATTCTAAGTGATTCAAAACTATCTTCATGAAGGATGAATAATTATTCTGGAGTAAAAGGCTAGGGTTAACAAAGGGAAATAAAGACACAAATCTAAGGACTATACCTTCACCCCGCGAAGTACAGGATCATTACTCAACATGTCAATCAATGGGGGACTGCTGAGAGGAGTGCCGGTTGTTATCAAGTCACCTTCTAAAGTATTTCCATATACATTAACCGAATCCCAGAGACTGTTAACAGAGAAGGAGAAAAAAAATTGAGTCAGAGATCAGAGACTATACAAATTGAAGGAAAAGTGTACTGGTTGTTTGTTCAGATTAACCTGCTACTCCTGGTCATAATTGAAGCAAGATCAAAGCGAAAGCCATCCACATGCATTTCTGTTACCCAATATCTGTTGCAAGAGCAAGTAACAAATAGATCCAAGATGATGTGTTTTTACAAACAAATCAGCAATAGAAAGGAATAGCAAAAGATCATGAGCCTTAGCTTTTGTAAGAAAGAAGTCAAAGGAACAACTGGAACAACGTGATTAATATGAGCCTAAGTAGATAGTGGGGTGTATGCTATGCTAATGACCAATAATTTTCTTGAAGCAACTTCAAGAAAAAGAAAACAAAGTACTTTTACTAACATACCCAGCAGCGAAGAAAGATGAACATTTGAATCTAACATGGCCTTATTCTTATCCTATACTTGAGCACAGTCTTATCTGAATATCTGTGTGTAGCTTTCTTCAGTAAATTGCTGCTCTTAACATTTTGTGTGGTAAGAAGAGAACAAGGAAGAACGGAGAATGTGTGAAAGAAAAAAGAGGAAGAGACCCACTTCTCTCAGTATCTAAGGAGGAAACTGGGTTAAGGAAAACAGAAGGGGTTCCAAATCACAAAAACCCAATCCTTTAAAAGATGAAAGAAAATGGAAGAAACTAACTGAACTAACTAAAAATGACTCATTCAATTGATCTTTTGATCCTAACTTTCAATTTACTTCAGGTCCTCAACTTCTTTACTACTCAATCAAAAAACCAGGAGGAAAAATACTTCTTTTTTTTCCAATGTTTTTTCTTTCAATTCAAAACTTCCTTTACTTTTTTTTTTCAGCCAAATCTTTTTTCATATTTTATCTTTCATACCCTTTTTTTTTTTAAATTGGTACATACGAAAATAATATTACATACTTAATATATTCATTTTGTCATATATATTTTCATATTAGCATAGATAATTGTAAGCTTTGTTTCTACATATGTTGCATCTAAAAAAATATTTTCTTCTATCATCAGAAGATTTGATATATTTTGAAAAAAATAAAAATAATTTATTATTATAAAATATTACTTTATGTAAGTATTTGAGAATATTGACTTTTTAGGGTTACGTTGGATTATTCTCAAAACTGAAGGACTTAGATGAAATTTACCCTAAAAAATTCAATATAAAAAAATTTTCATTTTCTTATCAGAAAAGGGTTTGTCACCCTAATGATTTGTTTCTCCTACGAAAGGAACAAAGAAATTGTAGCTTCAGCTATGTCATCCCTCGAAAAAAATTGAATCAGTTAGTCCCTAATCTTTTTTATGCCATTGGACTATGAGTCTTGTCAACTGGGAAAGCATCATCAGCTTCCTTTTGCTTCCCAAGTCAACAAAAAGGTCCTAGATCCTTTCTCAGCTTGTTCAATATGATATTTGCGATTGGCATCATCTGACCTCAAAACTGGGATTTTGTTATTTTCTTATCTTTTTAATGATTTTTCTAGAATGACAAGGTTCGTGATTAAATATTGTTCTAAATTGTTCATATTTCTGTGCTTTTCTTTTATATAGTCAAAACTCAAGTGCGTCTCTTCACATATTATATAGCATGATATTGAAGAATATATTCTAAGCCCTCCTACAGTTACGATTAATTTTAGTATTATTCACCAATCCTCTTCCCTTCATACTCCACAACAAAACATAATTGCTAAGGAAAAGATTGGACAGCATGTGGAAACAGCTCCTAGTATTTTGTTTCAGATTAATATCCCCAAAATTGGTTGGAGCTATGCATTTCTTACTGTATGTTATCCTGTCAACCATATACCTTCCTCCATTTTTTGTGGGTAAATTTCCTCATCCAGTCGTATTTCCACAAGAGCCTTCTTTTGTTTTACTTTTTCACATCAGTTGGTATATTAATTTTGTTTTCCAATTTATCGGAAGACAAGATTACTTGGATCCTAGTGCTAACTTTTCAATTTGGGATTTCTCAGGTACAAAAAGGTTACAAATGTTACAGTCCCTACTCTAAATTGGGTCTTTACCTGTTCATATGTTACTTTCTTTGAATCTACTCTTTGTACTCTTGTCAATCATTAAATCTTGTAAACTCTTAGCTTATACCTCTTACTCCTAGTTTCTCAACTGGAAGTCTACTCCTGCTTCCCCTAATTCTGAGTTCCCACCAAAAGCCACTTGTATCATCCTAATATGCAGGTATATACCCGTTGGACACAACAAGGAGTTGAGACAATCACTAGTGGATTCAGCTATTGCTTCTTTTCCACCATATCCAACTTGTAACAATCAAGATCTTCCTATTACTCTTTGTAAAGGTAAACAATTGTCATATGATTACTTTTCATTTTTCAACTACTTATTATTTCTTTACGTATCATTCAAACAGTTTCTGACCTAAGTTTGTTATTGAAACTTTTTCTCATTCTAGTTGGAGAGCTGCTATGGAAGAGGAATCTTTGTTGGGAACTTGTCACTATCCTTGCTAATAAATTGATGGTTCACAAAAGTTAATCCAACAGGTACAAATGACAGACTCAGCTCACTTGCTTACTAAAGGCTAAACTTCCTTAGAGACAAGCTTTCCTGTGGCTAAACTTCCTTCAATTTCTTTACTTTTCTTGCTACCACATTAAATTTGCGCATGGGAGATTTGAAGATGAAGTTTAAGTGAAGCAACAATCAGGGTTTGTTGCTCAAAGAGTAATTAGGTTCAGTTTATTGTTGAAAAGGTCTTTGCAAGTTCAGAACAATCTCCCAATGCTTGGTTTTTTTATTCAAAGCAGTGCTTGAGTTGTGAATTTAAAGATGGAAAGTCATTTTCATTTTTATTGTCACACCACAAGTGAAATAAAAGTGAAATAAAAGTGGTTTTTTATTTATGTTAATGATATGTCATCACAGATGATAAAGATCTTGGAAGAATAAGAGTTGAAATTATATTTGGATGGTTAATTTCAAACTAAGAATTTTAGGACAGCTGAAAATTCTAATGTTGAGGTGGCTAGTTATCCCTTGGGAGTATCCTTGTCTCAAGGAAAATATCTTCTTGACTCAGAAAAGGGTTTTGGAGTCTTATCTACAAATAGAGCTTTTAGCCAACACACAGACAACATAAACAGTACATGCACAAAGACACATGCACGCGCATGCACACACATAACAGCTTAGTTAATGCGTTATCATTGATAGGTTGAGAATGCACGAATACTGGAGTTGTCCAAGGGTTGGTCCCTAGCACCCTTTAAAAATTTAGGCCTAGTTTGACATATCAATTTTATACAATATTTTATCATTAAAAATTTTATGTTAATATTTTAAAAGTTATAAATATATTTACAATTAAATAAATATGTATTACTTACTAATAAAATAATAACTTCAGACTAACTCAGGCTTGAGATTAAAATTCTAAACTCAGCTTGGTCTAAAAAGAGCCATACTTGTGGACCTAGGTGGGTACCTAACCATTGGACAAGTCTTAACAATTATTAAAATAAAACTACAGATAACAACATGATTGAGAATACCTGTAATATATCATTTTTATTTTAAAAGTATTTGAAATAATTAAACTTGTGCAAAGCTTGAACATAATACTATCAATAAACTTGTAGTAGATCATACCTAGTTGTTATAGAATCCAGAATAATATATGAGGTTTTAGTTGGGAAATTGAATTGTTTCATAGCTGCATGGCAAATGTCTCTTGCAGCAAGTGTAGTTAGTTTCTTGATGCTCCACAACTATAGTTACTGGCATGCTATGATATTGCCATTTTGTTGTATCTTAATGGTACTCTAGTGTAGAAAACTTAAAGAACAATTGTCCTTATTTCTTCTTATTCCATCTACAATGAAGGAGTACATCTAAATATATTGGAACAGTGAAGTTCCTTATTAGGAAACAACTTACATGAAATAGAAAACAAAAAATAATAAAAGGAAGGAGAATTATTCTATTCTAAAATAAAAACAAATCCTTAAAAACTTGACAATTAGAATAGTTGACTAAATCAGAGCAGTAAATAAGAAATATTTCTAAAACAAATTAGGAAATCAAGCTGCACTAACGTAGGAGAATCAGATTTCTACACTCCCCCTTAAGCTAGGTTATGAATGTTAATCATACTTAACTTGAATTTCAATCCGTCAAAAATGCTTCTAGGAAGAGCTTTAGTGGAATATCTGCAATTTGTGAACTTGTAGGGATATAGGCTAGTTTGACTGACTCATTTTCTATCTTTTCCTTTATGAAATGTTGGTCCAGCATTATGTGCTTGTTCCTATCATGATAAACAGGATTTTTGGCAATATTTATAGTAGCCTTATTGTCACAAAACAATATCATAGATGTCACAATCTGAACTTTTAATTCTCTAAGTAACCTCATCAGACAAATTCCTTCAACGAATACCATGGGACATTGCTCTAAACTCAACCTCAACATTGCTCTTAGCTATAACAGCTTGCTTTTTACTTCTCCAATTGACCAAATTACCCCAAACATAAGTGCAATATCCAATAGTGGACCCTTTATCTGTTACTGATCTAGCTCAATCAACATGTGTACACCTTGACTGCCCTGTCCATTGACTTCTTAAAATATAGCCCTTCACTAAGTCTCTTCTTTAAATACTGTAAGATGCAATGAACAGCCTTAAGATGTTCCTTGGTTGGATTATTCATGTATCTACTCACCATCCCTACTGCAAACCCGATATCAGGTCGTGTAAGGGAGAGGTAAATAAGCTTCCAAACTAGTCTTTGGTAATGCCTTTTGTCCATGAGAGAGTTTCCATTTTCACTTCCAATTTTATTAATTGAGTCCAAGGGTGTATCGACAGGATATTCCATTCTTAGACCGAGCCACTTCCATCCCAAGGAAATATTTAAGGAACCCCAAGTCCTTTATTTCAAACTCCTTTGCAAGGAGTTTCTTCAAATCATCTATTCCTTCCTTGTGGTCTCCAGTGATTACGATATCATCCACATAAACAATAAGAATAACTCTTTTTCCTTCATTAGTGAACTTAACAAACATGGTATGGTCAGATTGACATTGAAGGAATCCATACCTCTTCATTGCCTTGGTCAACCGTTGAAACCAAGCCCGAGAAAATTGTTTAAGTCCATACAAAGATTTCCGAAGTTTGCACAATTTACCCATATTGTCTTGCCTTCCAAAACCAGAGGGAATTTCCATATAGACATCCTCCTCCAAGTCACCATTTATGAATGCATTCTTGATATCAAGTTGGTGGAGAGGACATTCTAAGTTGGCTATTAGTGACAATAGAACTCTAATTGAATTGAGTTTGGCTACTGGAGCAAATGTCTCCTCATAGTCTATCCCTTAGGATTGAGTGAACACTTTTGCAACAAGTCTAGCTTTGAACCTGTTTATACTTCCATCTACATTGTGCTTTATTGTGAAGATCCACTTACATCCAATCGGGTTTTTCTCTTTGGACAAATTTGAAATTTCCCATGTCCCATTTTTCCCTAGTGCCTTGATTTCTTCAAGAATTGCTGCCTTCCAATCTTGTTTATAAAGGGCTTCCTGAATATTTTTTGGAATTTACACATTGTCAAGATTAGTAATAAAGGCTCGAAAGCTTGGATTTAACCTGTCATATGAGATTTACTTGTAGATAAGGTATCGGGTGCATGATCTCACACCTTTTCTTAATGCAATAGGAATGTCAAGGTCACCAATTGGCTCACAAGTTTTAGTTTCAAATTCAATAGGGACATTACCTGTGTAAGTTTCAAGTTCTTAGAGACTCGGATCAGGTTGATTTTTAGTGTTGGGCTATGTACAATTGTCCACTTCTTCTTGTGGTTTTTGCTTCCTTGAGTAGACTATCAATTCTTTCGTTTTTTCTTGCATAACCTTAGGGTTTGAAAAGTCAAGAGTTGTTTGAACAAGTTGAGTTTCAGAATCTCCATGGCTGATAGGTTGGGTAGGTTGAGAATTTGGTTTTGAAGGGGTTGGTTGGGAAATTGGCAAGTCAACAACTAAGAATTGATATTCCTAAGTAGTATTCTCCCCTTGAATATCATTTTTGCTATAGTATGGAAGATTCTCAAAGAAGATGACATCCATAGCGCATTAGAATTTTTTTTGTGATGGGTGAGTAACACCTATAGCCTTTTTGGTTTGGGGAATAACCAAGGAAGATGCATTTTAAGGCTTTGGGATCAAGTTTGTTGTGATTTTGTTGGCTAATATGAAAAAAGGCAATGCAGCCAAAGAGTTTGATGGGAATGGAAGAGATCAACCGAGTTTGTGGGTAGGAAGCAAGGAGAGTTTGACACAGTATTTTAAAACCAACAACTTAAGAAGGCATTCGGTTAACCAAATAAGTTGCAGTGAGGATAGCTTCTCCCCAAAAATATTTAGGCACATTGGAAGTCAACAAAAGGGATCTGGTTACTACTATCAAATGTCTGTTTTTGTGTTCGACAACCCCATTTTGCTGTGGAGTGTCAATGCAAGAGTTTGATGGATAATGCCATGATTGGTGAGGTGAAGGCCAAGAATAGAGTTGAAGTATTCCCTTTCATTGTTAGTTTCAAAGACTTGGATTTTGGTTTGGAATTGGGTTTGTACCATGCTATTAAAGTTTTGAAAGATTTGGCTAACCTCAAATTTTTCTTTCATAAGGAAAACCCAAGTGAGTTCAGTATGATCATCTATGAATGTAACAAGCCACCTAGAACCTGCGATATTGTTAACTCTTGACGATCCCCAAATATCATTGTGAATCATTAAGAAAAGCTGAGATAATTTATAGGAAATGTTAGGGTAGGTATCTTGAATGTGCTTGGAAAGTTGACAAATTTCACATTGAAAATCTTTAGAGATGTTATTGAATAATGGGAGAAATAGCCGATTTAGGTATGAAATATTTGGATGTCCTAATCTATAATGCCATAACATGTTAAGGTCATCCTTACGAGTACTAGAGGCTAAAGCTGTACAAGAATTTTGTGGTCTCTCAAGTGCATCATTTTGAAGAAGGTAGAGCCTTGCACACATCCTAGCATTGCCAATAATCCTCCCCAAGCCCAATTCCTGAAATTCACACAAGTTGGGAAAAAATTTAGTGACACAACATCTATCCTTCGTAAGCTTACTGATAGAAAGTTGGTTACAGCTTAAATTAAGGACATGGAGGACAGAGTTGAGTGTTATGTCTTTCAAAACTACAATAAAACCTATTCTTAACACCTTTGAGAGAGAACCATCAGCAATTTTTACAGCAGAACTATCATAGCAAGGTCTATATATGTTGAATAAGGATGCATCTCCAGTCATGTGATCTGATGCTCCTGAATCAACAATCCAAGATTGTGTATTTCCCCATTGAACACTTAAAGCATTTAGGAAATTACCTTTTAATGCTAGTAAACTAGTTCCAAAGGTTGCAAACTTGTTTTGAAGGGTTTGTTGGCGCATCACCTCTCTATGACTTTCCTCATGCCATACCTCTGCAAAAGAATTCTCACTCTTGCTAGCCATAACAGAAACTCATGTGGCTACATTCTAATGGTTTAGGCCGACTTGCTCTAATACTATGTAGAAAACTTAAAGAACAATTATCCTTATTTCTTCTTATTCTATCTACAATGAAGGAGTACATCTAAATAAATAAGAACAATGAAGTTCCTTAATAGGAAACAACTTACATGAAACAAAAAACAAAAAATAATAAAAGGAAGGAGAATTATTCGATTCTAAAATAAAAGCAAATCCCTAAAATCTTGACAATCAAAATAGTTGACTAAATCAGAAGAGTAAATGAGAAATATTTCCAAAATAAATTAGAAAATCAAGCTGCACTAATGTAAAAGAATCAGATATGCACTAATGTAGGAGAATCAGATTTCTACATCCAGGATTCAAGGTAGAGGTATACTTTATAAGAACCATGGCCATACTTACAGAAGATAACTATAATGTAAAGTGGGCAGGTTATTTTGTGTTTGTTGATGGAACATTAAGGTCAAGGACAAAAATAAGAAACATGAAAGTTGGTGGGAGATTGAATGCTGAATCTAAGTACAGTGCTATAGATCTAACTTTGTCTGAAATGGTTTGGTTAGAGGACTTGATAGAGGAGCTAGGATTTGATCATTCCAACCTAAGGATTTCCTTTGCGATGTCCAAGCACCTATATATATTCAGCATATGTAATATATGAGCCAACCTTTTTGAAGGAGTGGCATCAATGTCTTATACAAAAGATTGTTTAGTATTTTTCTTTCAAATAAATACAAGAGGCTACCACAGTGTTTCTAGTATCCCCAATCTTCATTTCTATCTTTCTTTTCCACTTGAAGGTAAAGACTATCATATAAGAAATTTTCAAAGAACAAATAAATAAAACATGTAAGCCCAAAAAAGTTAAGATGAATATGAAGAAGTAGAAAGCATTAAAATAGCATGGCACAAATGCATTTCAGTCACCTACCTTAAGCAGTCTAAGATAAATTGACGCACCACAGGATGGTTACAATTGAGTGTATTTCCACAACCTGAATAATTATAGTACTCTCCCTATAAAAGCATAAAATTTAGATTGAAGTCACAACAATCATTGACCTCAAATAATGTTATAATAACAAACGAAAAAAAGTGAAGGACAGGATCAATTGACACTAAATATGTTCGAGCTAGCCACTCTCACTGTTACAATTTTTAGTCATTGTTCATCAACACAAACTTTTCTTTTGCTATAACACCAACACAACTATTGGAACTAGTTCATTATGTCTTTCAAGCCCCTTTTGCAGCCAATAATATATCTGTAACTATTGCATCAATGAAACTTGGTTCTATTCTATTAGTGATTAAAAGTTCTTATGACACCAATGGAAAAAAAACAGAAAATTCAATGCTTGAAAACCTAACATGCAAGATCAGCATAAATAGGGATAATGCTCATTTTAGCCCTCAAACTTTCACCAAATCTACAAATCACCCTTTGAACTTCTATTGTGTTCAATTAAGGCTTTGTGCTTTAATTTGTGTACTTACGGAATAATGAATATTCTGTTTGTGATAGCCTAGTTGGCAAATTTTCATAAAATAAATAATATAAAATAAAGCTAACTCTTATTTTCTCCTAGAATGGATCTTTTTTTCTTTTATCTTTCCCCTTTTCCCTTTCTATATTTTTCCTCCATTCTCTTCTTTGTTGTTTGATCTGGTGACCTAAGATTGATCTCGGAATGGACCAGCTTGATGTGACCAGCCAATTGCATATTGGATTGACCAACCTAGGCGATTTTCAACCTAAACAAGCCACATCTAGTCGACTATGATCTAACCAGTCAAAACCTGAAATGGCTTCAAATGGCCAGATCCAGCCAAGCTGGATCACACTCAACTTCAGATTCCAGTGGAATCTGCAGGTAAGTTCTCTCTCATTCTCTCTTCTGATTTGAGTTTCTCATTTTTTTAGTTTTCTTTTCCATTTTGAATGGAAGATAAATGTCTTACTTCAATTTCATTAATACAATGGAAGATAGGAATATTAATCACCAAATATTAACAAAGATTTCTCAAGATAGTCATTATGTAAGTTAGAAGATGAAACAAGTAAATAAAACAAATGACAACTAACAATGAATAAATTAAAAAATAATATAGAATGCAGACATTAGTATTATGTGTTTAAATAAAGGAGCAACATGCTACTACTACTACCTATACGGATTTCATTAACAACCAATTAACGCATAGAAAACAACTGCAACAGTACTACATGTGTCTATGTGTGTTACATATACACAATAAAGCAATTGCAAGGAATTGAACAGTTATACCTTAGGTGCCAGCATGTAATAGACACTGTTATCAACACCTCTAAAAGACAAAATAGGACCTTTCTCATTGCCTTCAGCTGTGTGATTGAAAACAACATCCATGAAAACCTGCTCAAATATATTAAATGAGAAAAGCACTCAAAATTTTCTCAAATGAAATTGCTTATTAAGATTGGAATCAGCACTAACCTCAATTCCTCGTTTATGTGCTTCTTTAACAAGATGTTTGAATTCATTGATTGCATCACGACCATAGTTATCAATACCAGCAGATGAATATCTTATCATGGGAGAAAAGTAATTGACTGTTGAATATCCCCAAAAGTTCAACCTTAAAAAGAAATGACACTTTGGTGTAAGTATGACGATTGCCAATAGGAAATTTCTAAGTTAGACAACACGTTGCCAACATATCACTTTTCAAACTTCAGAACTTTGTCAATAAAGATGCCAAACTGTTACTCTTTTTCAATCAAGGCAAAAAAATTTGGCAAACTGAATAAATCCAGTGTCCTATTAATGTCCCCTGGCTTTTAAACAGTAGGCATCTCATAAATCAATCTTATGATTTTTAGATTTGAACATAGCACAGATTTTTTTTTAGCAAATTTAACTCTTCTGAATTGTCTGGACTATTGTGCGTTGTCTAGAAGAATGATGCTTGTGATTTTCTCAGAAATGTCTTCCTTTTTAGTATAGACCACATGCAAAAAATTTTTCTTGTAAAGAGCATTTGATTAGCAGACCCTTTGGAAAAGCTCAAGGCTTACCACACTTGCAAGAGTTGTCCATGAAATCTGCAATATATTAATGCTCTTTGCAGATCTTATGCAGGGCTCTGAGCATGTATTTGTAGAAAACGTGGAGGGTCATCCATCTCATCAACTAGGATCGAGGGCTTGAAGAGGCACCAATAATGGGACCAGGTGGAATGTTTGTGGACCTCTTAGGTGGTAAAGTTTAGGAAGATGTCAAAATTGGATGTCCGTTGGATAGTTGCCTATTGTAGTTGCTTCAACTTTTACAGCAATTCCTCTGTTGAGCCAAAAGCTCATTCAGACATTAAAGCGGAAATAGATAACTGTTGAGTCATCAGATATGAAAACAAATATGGATGATGAAATTGAAGTGGCTGATGAAAGCTTGACGGTTATCAAAGGGTTAGGTAGCGGTAGCACCAATACCAAGAATACTGCTAGTATCAAAACTAGAAAATTTATTGCTGTTTTTGTTGTTCAAGTTGCTCATTCACAAAAAACTTCAATGCCCAAAGTCGGCAAAAAAGCTATGCTGACAATCGGGGAAGAAATCTGGAATTTACTGTTGGTGATCATGTATTATTGAACGTATCTCCTGCCAAGGGCAATATGAGATTCACGAAGAAAGGAAAGTTGAGTTAAAAGTTTCTTGGAGAAGTTTAGGGTTTTGAGATTGTTGTAGACCTGTTTGTGGAAAATTTTACAATGCAAGTTTACTTATATGAAGCATCTATAAGAAATTTTCCAGGAACAAGCAAATCCAGAGAATTGGTGAAGTTGCATATAAGTAGCCTTGCCTCATAAAATTTCAAGTTTTCATAAACGTAATTCATGTTTCTATGTTGAGGAAGTATGGAGCTGATCCGACACATATTAGTGATTATGAGTCTTGAAATCAGAGATAATTTGAGTTATGAAGAGAAATGAGATTTTAGATCGAAAAGAAAAAGTGATGCAGTCTCAAGTGATTCCCCTTGAAAGTTTTATGGCAGCTCATTCCACCAAAGGTGCTACATGTAACTTGAAAGTGAATTACCGGAGAGGTATCCACACCATTTAGATACCAAAATTGATCAAATCATAACTAACAAGTTCACTTCGAATCCCCAGGAACCGCAATCTGGATATAACAACCCAGATCACTATAATTTTGCAACCGTGGATCCCTAAAACTCGGGATCCAGATTCTTACATGAAACCTAGAAATTTTTAAAGAAATTGAGAATCAAAACATGTATGACTGAAAGAAATAAAGAAAAGAAAGTAGACCTACCTACTTGTTTTCTCATAAGATAATAATGAACTTTGAATCTTTATTATACAAATTTGAGTTTCTGACATTTTTCTTGTTTTTGACAAGAACTTCATACTCCATAGGTACAGGCAAGTAGTACACAATATATGGAGCCTTGAGACCCAAATTGGAATTTGGAGGTAACAGGAAATCTGATGGGGTAATCCTGGTGTTGGAAGGCAATATTTCTTCTTACTTGGCAGTGGAAAACGGAGTTAAACAATTGTTGATTTTTTTTTTTTTTTCCAAAGGAAGGAATACCTTGTCATGGGAGGAAGAGAAAACTTTCAACATGCAAATCTTAACTACAGAGGAAACAAGGTGCTGATCAAGAGGAGGTACAAGGGTTTTTATTTTGGTTTTCTTTTCCAAAAGTGACCTGAACCTAACTCAGCCTAAATTGATTTAGAAATTACGAAAGCCTAAGTAACTTGAAACCTGAAGCAACCAGAAACGAAATGATGAATCTAGCATGACCTAGAATCCAAAACAATCCAAACTAAAACAAGCTAGACCCAAATGTAGTACAATCTGAACCCAAAATGTTTAGTTTGGGCTTTCAGTTTTGCCCATATTAGTCCAATGATTGGGAGTTGATAAGCCCACAGATTGTACCTTTGAATGGAGATAAAAGGGACTATCAGTCCCTATGAGGACTAAGGTTGGCTCACCACACCATTATGGTAGCGGTAGCCATTGGGGCCACACTGCCAGGAATGGGGGTCCGGTTGGTTCAATCACACTGCTGGGCAACCAATTTCCCTCAAGCAAGCACATGGTGGCCAACGGGAGGAGCCTGGCCACATGGAATGTCATACTACCGCCCTAACAAACAGGCTCCAAAGACTTGCAGAATCCTATTCCAAGTAGTTAGTATTTGTCTTTTTACAATTCTTTGCAATGCCAAAATTGATTGAGTGAATAATGATAAAAATTCGTTGAGAATACTTGGATAAATTTGAGCCAGGTTATATTCACTCTTTTCCTATCTCTACTATCATAGTACGTTGAAATACTGTTCACAGCATAGGAATAGATTCACCAACTTGCCTCATCACAGTATTGCTGACGCCAATATATTCCAGCAGACTTTTCCTTCAATTTTAGCCCTCCTTTCAGATCCAAACTCAACTGAATCAATCTGTAAGTGATTCATACAGCCTAACCTAGATTCCTACCAGAGCCATAAACCCTAAATCCCTAACTTTTTTCCCTACCATAAACAGTAAGCATATAGATTACCTAACTCTATTATAACATCACAGAGTTTAGCAGATTTGAATGTCTTCTACCATCTGGGCAACTTTGAGGTAAAAAGAGTTAGATATGTCATGGGTCAGCTAGAAGCTAGGTTAATTGCACATAACGATTAAAAAAAAAAAAAACACTTTTCAAAACATTCACTAGTTAATTAAATCTTGCATGGTAACTGAAAATAGCTCTAAATCAAAGGTTGAAATATCATACTTATAGTCACCCAAGACAGAATTGTAGCTATAGTGCTCCAACTCATTGAATTCATGACATGGCATTAACTCTATGCAGTTGACCCCCAATTCCTGCAAGCCAAATAAACACCTAATAAATAAACAAAGCAAGTAATAATTCTTATTAATGTTATTTCATTTCATAATGTCAAATAATGATATGAAAGATACAACTTGAACATTTTGAAGTGTACAGGGAATGTTAGTTAGTAACTCGGTTAGCACAGTAACTCAACAATCTGAAGTGTAAAGTGTATGGTAGTACTGCTGAAGTGAAACTTGTATTCCATTTAACAACAAACAATTCCTAACATTGTTCTCAGTAAACTGAATTGGGCACACTCTCATGCACAGGCAAAAAGAATTTGCCTTGTAGAAAATCTGCTTTCAATAAATAGAATGCTTCCTTACTCTATTCTCTTGAAAAGTACCACCAAATGAGAGCTGGTCAAGTACCAAAACCCAGCATTACTTGTCTAGACCTATACTTAAAAATCTGAAACCTATTACTTCATTGACTTTTCTCAAAAAATCCTTGTCTATGGTTGCACTATGAACTTAACCAGATTCAAATGTTTTAGTCTGAAACATTTAGACTGGACAATTTTGTACATCCAAGGTTCTGCCAAAGCTTCTCTTTGAAGCAATTTAGTCTCATCTGTTTCATAACACCAAATGGCAACAAACTGCAATTTCAACAAGACTAAATATTTGAACTCATTTATAGAATAGAAACACAACACTACCTGCTTCCTTCTCTCTTTTATCAGTAGATTATGAAAATTTAAAAGAGGGACCAAGAGAGAGAGCTCAGTTCCACATGTAAAGAACATATACTACAGTATACAAAACAGAATAGAGTTATGATGTTCTGGTTGATTCATTTTCAAGATCCTGTTGTTTCATCTATAAGGTTGTTTAAATTGAGCAATTTGACTTCAGGTTACTTCACATCCCAAGTCATTTTGAATCTCAAGTCTTTTTGGGCTGGATTAATTTAGGTTTCATTACTTAAAATTTCATCTCACTTCGGTTCTCGAGTTGTTTGAGGTTAAGATGCTTTTATATTTAAAAAATTTTAAGTTGGCATACGTAGCTATCCGTCTTTTCTTTCTTCTTTTAATATTCTAATATGCCTCATTTAAAATTTTAATAGCTATATCAGTGTCATCTTTGGATCCACTGAAACCATGCATCTTGCCCTCAAGGCACTTCAGCTCAAAATGCCTCCCATAATATATATAGGGAGAAGGAAACTACAATCAATCACTGCATCTAAACTGTTTATCTTTGGCATCTTATTGTCAACAATCATATGAATTTTAGTCTTGATGGCAAAACAGTAAACAAAAAATTCCCTATTGGAACTTCACATGGTTATCTGTGATGCTTGATCAAAACATCTAACTTTCCAGTGTTTTCTTTTTTTTTTTTTTAACTGACTCTCTTTGTTCTTTCATATAGCCCAGTTACTCACAAGGCACAAAAGGCTATTATTACCACTAAGACAATTTCATCTTATAGTGAAAAAGAAAAACCCTCGAAGAAAGCATCACAGATAACATACAATGCTATAAGATCTACCTTCAAGTGATCAAGCTTCTCCACCACAGCACGGTAAGTGCCAGGAAATTCTGTCCTGCTAGATTCATGCCTTGTAAATCCACGGACATGCATTTCATACACTATGAGATCTCTTTGTGGATACCTCAGAGGTAAATCACCTTCCCAGTCAAACTGAAAGCATCAAATAACCAATTACACAAGTCAAGGAATAAAAAGGTCAAATACATTGATTCAGAAAGTGTATTGCTAGGATGAATGGGAAAATTTTAAAGAACATTCAAAACTTTATACATATAAAGTAATAAAAACAACAATATAAGTTTGACTTTTTTTTTTTTTAATCCAAGACAGAGTGCACACCACCAAACATACCTTATATAGTAGTTGAGGTTGCCAAAAGAAAATTTTAAAGAACATTACAAGGTATAATAAGACGAACTTGTGGCTTTCATAATACCACAAAATCAGGGAAATAAGAAATTTTTAAATATATTTAAAAAAGAAGTAGGGGGCTGTAGGTGCCAACTACAGGCTATCTGCTATCAAACTTTTACGGATGTGAAAAGAAACCAGGAGAGGAGGTACTAGATGAGTTAGTTGGAGCTCATAGCAAGCATGTCAATTTACACTAAGATAAAATCTTTAACACATAGGCGTCCTCTGAGAATACCTCAATAACATTAAGGTTAAGGTCATTAAGAAAATCTTTACACCAATAGAAGGTAGGGTGCTAGCAGATGAACTGCTGCAGGGTTTTAACTTTAGATTTTAGTAAATTTGAAAACGAAACAAAGAGAAGATATGGTAAATGAATAAGTTGAAGCTCATAGCATCTGCAGCAACATTATTAGGTGGAAACTTCATGGTTTAGGTCCACTTTTTTGTTGGCTCAGTTAAAGTAACGAAACTCTTATTGGTGGCCTAGGAAGCATAGACACATACACACAATATGAGTACAACACAGACACGGTGACACGGTAATTTTAAAAAACTGACACAGGTACAACAGGACACAGCAATAAAAAATATTTTTATATCCATAAATTTTTTATATATTTTTTGTAATCTGTTAATTTAATTTTTGTATCAATAAAAAATTCTTTTTTCCCTCTTTTTTTCTTTTGTTTTCTTTTCTTCTTTCTTCTTTCATCTTTCTTTTTCTTCTTTTACTCTTCTTTCTTTTTCTCCTTCCTGCTTCTCCTTTTTCCACTTTTTCCTATTTCTCCCCTCCCAAAACGCACTGTTTAGGTGCTTCATAAATACCCCCAAGTTTTTTTTTTTTTCATTTTTGCCTTCCCTCTCTCATCCTCACTTCTATCTACTCTCTCTCTCTCCCTCCTAACCAGCCACCACTCAACAAATCCAGATTCTGGCAGCACCTGCAGTGCCGGCCACCATCTACCATCGCCAACTACCGTATGCCAACAACCATTTTACACCAAAAAATCACTAGAAACTCGTCTCAACCTCACCTTGTTCCCATCTAGCTAGATTTCCCAAAAAAACAATTAAAAAAGCCTAGATCTACAAAAGAAGCGTGGCCTCCACCACTTTTTTACTGTTAATCGCCTCCTCTTTCCTTCCTCTACCGTGTCCTGATGTGCCCGTCATCGTGTTTTGACCATGTCCAAACTTTTTTTTTTTTGCTCTGTCCCGGTGTGTCCTGTACATATTTCAATGTGTCAGTGGCATGTCTGTGTTGGACACCGGTATGAAACCAGTATATGTGAGGTTCCGACGTGTCCGTGCTTCATAGCTGGTGGCTTGGCATCCAAAGCCAAAGGTGCAACATGTGGATACATGTATACACATCAAGAACATCTGTATATGTCAAAATTTTGAGCTGTCTATTGGTGTGCCATGTCATGAAAAAACTATTCATAAGATTAGTTTAAAACCAATTCTTGAATAGAAGGCGGGAGACTAATTAATAATAATTATTGGGATCCTTTAGCAAACATTTGGCATTACAGGCTCAGGATGAAACTGTGGAAAGAGCCACACTCTCCCTAATACCTATGTATTTCTAGGAAGGCGACATGATTCCATAAATACATCTCTATTTCTAACCAATCTAAACACTTATTGCTCTCATTATGAAGGTCTCTCAATTCAATGGAAGATTGTTCTTCCCCTTTCTTATTTTAAAGTGAGGTTCCTTTCCTGGAAATCTGGGCATTGCTGAGCAAGAAACAAAAGGAAAGACACATCCACAATTTTAAAAGGAAATTCTCTAAGGGGAAGCAAGTAGGATGAAAAGAAGGCAATGTATTCCACATAAAATTTGTAGATTTAAACTAAGTGGATGGAGAGAACAGATCAAATACAGTCCTTTACTTATTTACATTTCCCTCAAAGCTTTTCATTTTATTCACCAGTATCTTGAAGTAAACTTAAAAAGAAAGGAATGATAATTTTCGACATGAAATTATCATCACAACATAGCAAACCATGCTTCATTAGTTCAAACCCATATCATAAAGTGAGAACACTGAAAAAACAATAGATACTTGGACTGTACACCCCCTCCCTAATCAAAATTTTGAGAAATAAATAAGGGAGGACTTTTTTGGAGGATTCAGACAAAGGCCATACAGTAGTATACTATCATGACACAAATCTATATTTGTCCTCACATGGAAAAGCAGTCACTGAAGTATAGCAATAAGTTCAGATTTTAAGTACCTGAGCTTCAGAAGTAGGAACCATGCAGGCCATTTGGGGCCAACAATTGTCTTCAGGCCCTAAAGCCCCAAACTCCCCTCTGCTTATAACTGCCTAGAAAAGTGACAAGCAAATCAGTGCTCCATTTCACAAGACAAGAGGCAAACTAAAAATAAAGGAAATTTGGTCAGATCAAAAGTCTTATATAATAGAATAAGTAAAAGAGTTAAAGGCGCTATGTTACCTTTGCATATGGATCCAATAGTATCCTGGAAGAATCATAGTAATGACCTTTTTCAGGAGAAAACTCGCCGTCAAATATGTAGCCATATAGCATATCTTTGAAATCTCCTCTCAAAAATACATGCCAGACATCTCCAGTCTTATTAGTCAATGGATCAAGAGATATCTGCTCTGTAACTCTATTCTGGAAGCAAAAACAGCCATTTTCATCAAATTAGTCACTTATCAAACATCCAATTCTTTTTAGCAGCTAAATCCAAAATGAAACAACTCCCTTAAATGGCAAATGGTAGAAAAAAAAAAAAAGCCTCAGTTTGGTTGTTCCTTTTACTGCTTGCGCTTAGCCTATAGAAGAAAAAGAAAAAGCAGATATGGATAGAAAAGTAAATAACATGCTTAAAAAATTAAATATATATTTTAACTTTGATAAGAATCAAGATGGTTGATTAATATGTTAGAATGAGTATCACAATTTAACTATTTGCTTATTGTTCAACAATCAAAGGAGCCTAAAAGTTTCAAATTTTAACATACTGGTTACTGAACAAAAAATTATGTAATGTAAGATCAATAATTAAGTAACCTGGTGCAAATCCGAGAGAATAATGAAGCAGAGAGAGGCGGAAACGGCATTGGCCGAATATATCGCAAAATTGACGCCACCGTCTCGAAGAGTGGCACCGAATGGAGCGGGATGGCCCTGCGACACCTGAAATCTCTTTATTACCTTAGACTTCTCAATCACTGCAGTTTCGGTCTCTGCCGCTCCTCCTCCTCGTGCTTTAACCACCATTGTAGTGGTTGATATTGTTGCATGGTTGTTGGAGATTGTTCGCAAGATAGGTTTGGGAGTGGTTTGGTGGCGGAATGATGGAGGGATGAGCTTGGGAGCATATTGCAGGGAGCAAGTGCAACGGGTTAAGCCCATTTCACTCTGATTAACTGAGATTGTTCATAAGAAACGAAATTCCCTCTGATCTGAAATCAGTGGATTTGGTTCTGCTGTGCTTTGCTCTGCTCAACTTCTAATCCACTCCAGCCTGTGTCTCGTTCTATGTTATCATTGCTGAATGAGACTGACTGTACCACTACTGTTATACTTGTGTGTGTGCGCGTTTCCGTCCATTTGTCAATCGATTGACGGTGCTAGTTGCATTATCATCGCATTTACTTCTTTTTTTTTTTTTTTTTTGAAGTTATGCGATTAATCCTAAACTTTAGTCAAAATACAAATTTAATCCCTTTACAATAATTTTAATATGGCAAGTATCTTTATTTTTTATATTTTTTAATTTTCATCCAATAATAAATGGTGTTCAAATTTTTTCATTAATACTGATGACATGGTTATTAGTGTTGATTATCTTATTTATTTTTAATGATATTGATTAAAAAATTTCATGTCACTTATGAGCATGTTTCTAATTTATTTATTTTATTTTTTTTAATTTTTATAATATTATGTTAAATACAAATTTAATATAAAATTAAAACATTTTATTCAAATAAAACACCTAAATTAACTCAAAAACTAAATTTTATATTTCAATAATATCTTTATCTTTTTAGAACAAAAACAAAAAAATTACAAAAATAAAAATTATAACCATAGTAGTCTAATTTGAAAAAATCGACAACCATTTTGGTTCTGTGCAAGAAAGAACTCTTTAGTTTATCAAATTTTTAAAAGGTTTCTCGGTAAATAAAAAGAATGGTATAGTTGTCACCCAAATAATACAATATTCAACAAAGAAAAAGAAATTTTAAGATTGGATGAATAAAAAACATTTACATATTTGTTCAATATAGAATGAATAAAATCTAAAGCTAAATCATTCATAAAAAATTTGTATAAAATTTTATCAATCTCTATTTTTAACATAATTCATTTACATATCAAGACCCAAATAAAAAAAAAATGTACATGACCATTAACACTTGAAGTGAAAATGAAATGAGACAAAGCTAAATAGATGCAACTGAACTAACTCCAACCAATCTCCACCATCATTCCAACTAATCTATTCATTTTTTACCCTTGTCAATCAATATTTACCTTCGATCTTCAAAACCTAAAAAACCAAGAGTAATGACCAATAAAAAAAATCAACTATAACAAAAGAACAAAATAGTTAAAAGGGAGCATGGTGAGAGGATAAAAATAATAAAAAATTCAAACTATTTAGAACGACAAAAATGAGTATTTTGGGTGGAACAGCCGTAACCTTTACTTTAGAACTAGACATTTTAATGTTGTATTTGGCAAATCTAAGCTGGTAGAAAACTAAAGGAGGTTAAATTGAATTTTTAAATAAATTTTGGGTTGTTTTTTACATTTAAGGCAACAATAGATGAAGGTTTGGAGACTAATTCTGGAATTAGGTAGTGGTGATGAATGGGTTGTTCTTGAATGTTTAAGAGGGTAGAGAGACAATGATACTTAGAGAGAAGGAAGAAAAAGAAGAAAAATTTAAAAAATTAAAAGAGCTAAAAAGCCATAATTTGGTGGTCTATATGGACTAAAAAGTCCACGTCATCATATTCTCAAAAAATATATGATGAAGTCTACTGTATCAATAAATCAATATCATATCATTGGATAAATGTATATGTTAATAGACTTAACAGAGGAATTTAAAAACTATCAACGATTGGAAGAAAATTTTGAATTTCAAAAAGTGCTAATAGTGTCAATATTGAAATTATTATAAAAAGATTAAATCAGCATTTTGATCTAAGTTCGGTGACTGATAGCATAATTTGACTTTTTTAAGTTTCTTCTTTTTAAAATTCCTAATAGATAGGTTGTTACTTATAGATATTATGCTTTAGTTTGCTTTGTGGAAATGCACTTCAAAAAGAGGGTGCATTTTGGTATTTTATTTAAATGCTTATTTGTGCAAAATATATGGAATGTAACATACAAAGGTTACTATTAATGGGATAAATTTTATTCATGCTCTCTAACGTTGAAGAGAATCAAGACCTTGAAGAGGAGGAAGAGGTAACCTATGGTGATTATAAAGCATCTTTAGTCATAAAATGCAGCTTTAGTATCACACCTACTAAGAAAGAAGATTGATTGCGCAAAAATGTGTTCCACACTCGATTTATTGCCTAGAAGAAGGTATGTGATGTTATAATCGATAGTGAAAGCTTTGAAAATGTTGTTTCTATTTTTATGGTGCAAAAATTAGGCCTTAAAGCCGTAGACCATCCCCAACCATGCAAGCTATTTTGATTGCAAAAGGGGAATGAAATCAAGATCAACAAGAGATGTTTGGTTCTTTTTTTCATATGAAAGTAATACGAGGGCAAAGTGTGGTGCGATGTAACTCTTATGGATACTTGTCATTTGCTACTTGGAAAACCTTGGCATTATGATAGGAGAGCCCTTTATGATGGCTATTGTAACACTTACACATATGTTAATGATGGTTGCAAAATCATCTTAGGTCTTACCAAGCCCATAGCCATGCTAAAGCCAACCAAAGAAAAAAAAAAGTAACTTATTTACCAAGGCCAATTGCATAAGGGATATTGAGATAGGTGGTACTATACATGTACTAGTGCTAGGAAAATGAAGATAATAAAAAGCTTCCTATGGTTATAAAAGCCATTATTGAAAGAATTTCAAGATGTTCTTCAAAAGGAGATGCCAACTGATCTACCACCAATGAGGGATATTCAACAATGTATAGACCTCATCCCTAGAGTTATTCTACCCAATAAGTTAGTCTATATGATAAGCCCTAAAAACATGAGGAGTTACAGTGCCAAATTGATGAATTGGTGAAAAAATGAATGGTGTAAGAAAGCATGAGCTTTTGTGTAGTCCTAACCTTTTTGGTGCCTAAGAAAGATGGATCATGACGTATGTGTGTGAATAGTAAGGCAATAAAAAAATCACGGTTGACTATCGCTTCCCTATCTTGCTTTTAGATGACTTGTTAGACCAATCACATGAGCAATCACCTTCTCCAAAATAAACTTATATAATGGCTATCATCAAATTAGAACAAGGACAGAAAATGAGTGAAAAATAACCTTCAAGACAAATGATGGCATATATGAATTGATGGTAATGCATTTTGGTTTATCCAATGCTTCTAGTACTTTCATAAGGTTTATAAATCATATCTTTAAACCTTGCATCAATAAATTTGTAATAGTATATTTTTATGACATTTTGGTGTACAATAAAGATAAGGGCCAAAACTAGTCATTACACTAACTATTTTGCTTATTAAGAGAGTAAAAACTTTATGCTAATCTTAAAAAATATAAGTTTTTTACTTCTAGCTTTGTATTTATAAGAGATATGATGTCAAATAAGGGAATAAATATAGATCCTAGCAAGGTTAAAGTAATTTTAAATTTGTCAACACCAACATTTTTTCATGACATCCAATGCTTTCATGGCCTTGCATTTTTCTATAAATGCTTCATTAGGGGTTTTAACTCTATTTTAGCTCATATCACCAAATGTTTGAATAATAAAACTTTTAAATGAATCAAAAAAGCTTGACATAGCTTTGAGCTTATCAAGATAAGGATCATCGAAGCTCCCATCCTATCTTTGCTAGATTTTGATTAAGTATTCAAGGTAGAATATGATACATCCAATTCGGGAATACGTGTTGTTTCAAGCCAAAAAGGAAAGCCTATTACATATTTCAATAAGAAGCTTAATAAAGCCAAAAAGAAGTATATGGACCTTTTATTCCATTTGAGTCAATATTTCATTGCCAGCAATTTCTCTTATATACAGACCATGAGGCTTTAAAGTTTATCAATAGTCAACACAAACTCAACTGAAGGCATGTAGCTTAGGTGAAGTTCTTTTAAGCCTACAACTTCACTATCAAGCACAAGTCAAAAACTCAAAATGTGGTGGTAGATGCTTTAAGCCAAAAGAACTCTTTATTAGGGACTATGGCCATTAAAGTAATTGGATTTTAGGTGATAAAAAAATTATATCAGGCAAACCCTTACTTTAGTTGAATTTAGAAAGAATGCAAACAAGGACCATACAACCAGTTTTTATTAGATGAAAGATATCTCTTTAAAGCTAACAACATTTGTATTCATTTATGTTCTTTAAGGTAAACCTTAATCACTAAGACTCATAATGATGCACTAGATGGACATTTTAAAAGAGACAAGACATTTACTCTTTTGTAAAATAGGTTTTATTAGTCGAGAATGGAGAGATGTGGTGAAACACATTAACTAATGTAGGATGTGCCATATTACCAAGAGTTACGATCAAAACATTAGATTGTATACCCTACTACTCATATCTAATGCTTATTGGGAGCATGTTATTAGGGTTTTGTAGTGGGATTATCGAAAACTCAAAAGAACAACACCTTGATCATGGTGGTTATAGATTGATTTTTCAAGATAACATATTTCCTTCCTTTCAACAAAACTAGATACTTCTCATGTTTTTATTTGTATTTTAGGAAAATTGTAAAGCTATATAGAATTTCTAGGTCTATGGTGCCTATTCAAGATTTCAAATTTCTTAATTACTTTTGGTGCACTTTTTAAAAAAAGCTTAGCATCAATCTTAAGTATAGTTTTATCTCATCATCATTAAACAAATGGTCAAATAGCAGTGATCAACCGTAGCTTGGGCAACATTTTAAAAAGTTATGTAAGGAAGAACATCAAGTAAAGGGATCATGTTTTACCCTAAATAGAGTTTGCCTATAATTATTCACCAAACCAACCTATTGGTTGTAATTCTTTTGAGGTGATATATAGTACGAATCCAATAAGCCTTTTGTATTTAGTTCTTTTCCCTACTAACTAATAATTTAGTGAACATATAAAAGAAAGAACTAAGGGCATCAGGTGGTTGCATGAGCAAGAGAAAGCTAAAATCTTACAACAAAATGAAAAGAACAAGAAAGCAACCAACAAGCACTGAAAGTATTTAGAGTTTAAAAAAGGTGACCTAGTACAGATTCACTTATAAAAGGATAAGTTCCTATATGAGAAATATGGCAAGCTTCAAACCAAGGTAGATAGCCCATTTAAGGTACTACAACATATTAGAAAAATATCTATAA